AAAATATGTTAAAATGTCAGGCCTTGTTCCTCCAGCTGTATCAGTGTCAGTATTTACACAGGGACATTCAACAGTGGCAAAAACAAAAGCTCAGAGTTTTTCCCATTTTTACCAGGGGAGCCACACCTGTATGGCAAGAGCCAGGTTTTAGAAAAGTTCTAGCCACTAGAGGGCTGTCAAAATTAACTTCTTCATCACATTTAAAGAACAATTAAAGTTTTCGTTTTGACAGAAAAATACCAAAACATTTTTCTCATATATAAGAATGTTCAATCTGTACATGATTATTCATGATCAGGATTAGTTGTGATTAGCATTGCCTCCCCAGCAGATGGCGTGCTTAGCAAATGCCTATGTGGCCCTTTGCCAGGAGTGGGCTCTGAGCCACAGCTTGTGTCCCTGGTTGAGCTGCATGTCTCTTGTCTTTGTCCCCTGAATGAGCCTAATGTTCATATTGATTGTGAGAGGGCTGAGTCTGAGGCTCTCACATGCCCTTAAACTGAGAAGGGACCTCGGGGTTTGAACTGGGTTAAGCTTTGAGGTTAAATGCATGCTTTAATCAAACCTATCCTGATTAACTGAAGCAGCTCTGCTCTCTCGGGGGGAGGTTAATAACTTCACTGGCTGACAGTTCACAGAGTGCTGGGAATCTTGTGTATGTCGGGTCAAACCTAATAAGTAAAAGTATGAGCGGAGAAGAAGAAGCAACTAAAATCTATTGAGTAAATATCAGGCCAGGAAGTCAGGAGGACTAAAGGCCTGTGTAACAGATGATGAAACTTCTCTCCTACTTTTTCTCACTGCTGTGTAGAAGATTCCTGACTACTGTGTGTCAGCAATTTACTCTGAAGACGAACCAATGCCTCTGCCTATGATAAATGTGAGCCCCAAAAAAGAAAGCTCCCCTCTGGAGAGTCTTTGTTCTGAGGAGGATATTTACAGTTTTTCTTCAGCCAAACACTAATGTTTCATGAGGCTGGATCATGAATGGCCTAGAAAAAAACAACTTTCTCCAACTTCAGTTCAATTTCCACCTGTAGCAGTGCTGCTCAGAGTTACCTATTACTGTTTGAAGGGAAAACATTTTTTTTTAAAAAGAAAAAGTAAATACTGAAAATAGGGATTTAAAAAAAGAAAAGAAAAAGTAAATACTGAAAATAGGTTTACAAGTATCATGCAACGTGAACTAGTTTCTGACAAATTCTAAATAATAAATATATTCACCGGTGTCTCATCGAGAAACAGATCATGTTGCATATCATTTGTATTAATATTTTGATTTCAGTATTTCAAGGCTAAAACAGGGTTTCACCATGTTGTATTTGGGCTGTTTGATGCGTGAGGTTGGACATGTGATTAATTGGATTTTTCATCTTTTATTATGCTGTCCTTCACACATGCCCAGAAGAAGATATGAAAAGATTTTTTTTTATTTAGTTGCGTTCCATTTCACCTCTGACTATTCTTAATAATACAAGGAAAAAAAGTAACATAAAAAAGTTTGTTTTACTGAGCTGTGCATGAAAATACCTCACAAATAAAATAAAGGTATTTTCTTTCATTACACAAAAATGATTTTTTTAATGAAACTATTAAATGCTTTTACAAATTTTTTTTTTTTTAATGAAACTATTAAATGCTTTTCATGCACAACTCAAGGACAAAGTATTTCCATGTCCCACAGAGAGCAAAACTACCATGTGAAGACAATAAACAATTTTAACACGTCAGAGTCACTCTCTGACTGATAGTATCGGCCGATTATCGGCTGATATTAGCCTAATTATATAATATCTGTAAAAATCGTTATCACTTCTTCCTATAAAACCCAATAACGCAATGCCCAGTGTCCCCAAATGATGTGTGCTCTAAAAATAGTTTTGGGGATAAACGGCTGTATATTAAAGTGAAAGTCACTAGATGGCAGCATTGCGGCTCATTGTCTTAATCTATTTTAACAAATGAGATTGTATGCAGAAGGCCGGTTCCAGCAACATAATACATTGGTTTCTAAAGATAAACCGAATAAATACTACGAGGCCTTTATTGGTATCAGGAATTCAGTGTTTGGAAAATATCGTCATTTTGAATATCAAAAATCAAGGATCTCAAACACGGCACCACCTTGGGGTGAAGATGACCTTAAACTGTAGAATGACAAAACCAAATTTTAAAACCTGCTGTGAAATATGGAAACATCTGACGTAGAAACACTGAGAGGCTGAGCTCACACAGCTGTATCCTTCCCTCCTGGGGAGTCTCAGACGGAGTTGTCCGTCCACAGCATTTCCTGTGGTGCAGGCAGAGACTGACCGGTGCAGTGTTGGCTGAGCCTCCATGTTCACAGCTGTGAGAGGTTCACTGGTAATAATCTGCACAAAGAAGGAGTGAGCATGACTGTTCTGTGTCACATATGTTTCACTGTCTGACAGGAACTCTGCTGCTGCTGCTGCTGCTGCTGCTGCTGCTGCTGCTGCTGCTGCTGCTGCTGCTGCACCAGGTCCTAGAGCAGTGTCCTGATTTGCCTGTGGTGACCCTGAGAGAGTCGCAGCAGAAATCCTGTCACAGCTAAGTCTCTTACATCATCTATTATTGATTGGAGTGACATGAGTTAGGCAGAGCAACAGGAAGAAATAGAGAGAGAGGGCGAGAGAGAGTGCTTTAAAGAATATAGGACATAAAGATAATATGTGGAAAAGATTAGGATGTGTAACAATTGCAGATTAAAGTGAAAAAAATTCTATCTAACGATCTGCTATCTATGTTTCTTTATACGGCATTGTGCTTATATTTGATTCCACTACTTCTTTTATATATATATATGTGTGTGTGTGTGTGTATGTATTTACTATTGTGAAACGTACCACTGCTACCTCCTTTTATTCCTTAGTAGTAGGTGTATGCATGTACTTCATGTATGTAATTGAGTAATTCCAGAACTCTTTAGTCAGGTAAGAGAAGTCATAAAACTTTGACTGTAGAGTTAGACTTCCAGAACTCTTTATCTTTCGTCAGGTAAGAGATGTCATAAAACTTTGACTGTAGAGTTAGAAAAAAAAAATTGTTGTTTATTGACGTTATGGATACAGCAGCCTAAATGAATGTTATCAATGTTAGATATTAGACTGTTGGATCGGAGCCCAGTGACAGTCACGTTGGCCCAGAGTGAAGACTTAATCACCAAACCATGGAGACTCTGAGTCAATAATGTGACCACGGCTCCCATCAATCACATTTTTATACACTGACATAAATACATGTCAACACCACAGGACCACAGGAGTTTTACAGAGCCAGCTGTCACTCTGTTCAGAGTGAAGAGAAAATAAAAATGAAACTTAAGGTTTAAAATGACGTTTAGGAGTCACTTCATTTAACTGCATATGAATCTGGGATTACTTTTTTTTATTAAATCCAACCGCCCACTGTTGTCTCTTAAAAACCACATTTAAAATAACAAGTTCTTTACAAGGTAGGGGGCAGGGGGTGAAAAAGTTCTAAGAAAACTGAAAAGGAATCTTTATTTATGAATATATAAACGCGCTCCTGTAAATAATCTTGATACGTTTTTCAGCCAGCGATGTTTCCATCAGAGAATATCTTCTCTGTAAAGTTCTGCAGGATCTCTTTTGCATAATGTTATAATGTTATATGTGTGTGTGTATATATTGTAAATATATGTGTGCATAAATATATAAATATATGTAAATATATACACATACACATAGAACTGCTTCCCATCCAGGCTCTGTTATTCAACACTTGATTATATATCAACTTAGTTTCTATTGGTTCACGTGTGTATGTGTTAAAAACAAAGTAATCACTGCTTGGTTTGGCTGTTTTCAACCCACTGAAAACAAGTGGTTGTTTACTGTCAGTGTGGTTTTTTTTTCTGCTCTCATCACAGCATGAGGTGTTGCACAGTATTTTGCACCGTGACGTGATTCAAGAATCAAACGTGAACCAATTTGACCAGGAGGAAAAACCTGACAGTTTTACAACCCAGTCCACAAATAAGAATATGCTTTCACAACGAGGGTTCCTGTGAGCGGACAGGGTTCTGCTGTTCTGAGAGGGTTCTGTCTGTCGCTCACAGCACACCTTTTTTTTGACACTGACAGCCACAGGATTTCATGGTTTGATATGTGTTTTATTAGCTTCACATCTGCAGTTCCTCTCCTGAAACTGCTCTACAGCTTCATAGAAAAGAAAATATATAAATATATTTCTTTTCAAATCTAGAACAATTGAAAGAGACGAGAACAGCTGCAGACTGGGCTGCAGGGGAGTGAAAGCTGCATATTTAACTGTATGTTGATCTTTAGCGTCTCCTAGTGGCCACATTGAAGTAGTACAAGGAGCTGTATTTTTTTTCCAAAGGTAACTGCAACAACATTTGCAACAGTAGTTAAATATTAGGTATGTTTAGTAATAAAGTAGCTGCTCCAGAGGAAGAAGAGACATGACCTTCGGTCCGTTATTCTCTGAGGGAACAGATGTTGAGATCCTGCAGCGAGTAAATGCACTAACTGTGATAGAGTAATGATACTTATGCTTGTTTTCTGGAACACTTGGATTTCTGCATGTGTGTGTGTGTGTGTGTGATCTATAAAAGATCACTACACTCTCTGCAGTTACAGCCTGGCATTAGCTCAGATCTTAGTTTGTAGCCAATAAATGATTCAGCAGCTCCATCATGGTTCCATCTCCCAGTTTTAGGCGGAGGCAGCTGAGCGCTGGGGAGAGGATTAAACATGAGGTATAAGGTACTGGGCAGGAGATTGTATCATTACTCAGTATGATTCCCCGCAGTTCAGTAAAGAAACTGCAGACGATATTAACTATTCACGAGTTGAGCTTATGGGCTGGGCAAAGTAGAACACTTCCTTTAGGTCGAGGCATAAATCTGAAAGTTTTGTTCCTTTAAGTCCTTCTTTGAAAAAAAAAAAAAGAAAACCAATTTATTTCCATGTTATTTTTGTTATTTGCGGGGAAAAACATATTATTCTGTAATCACAACATCATTATTAATGTGAATCTGCTAATAATAGCCCTGTATTTGTTATTATCTGTACATTCTCTTACTGTTGTTTCTCATTCACCAAAGTTTTCCTGCCCATCGTCCACTAATGAAAACACTGCAAATACAAAATTGCTGAGGAAGTAACTGGCATTTCCTGACCAAGTCAAGCAGCAGAAGGCGCACGGATGATAAGACAAGGAGCCCTCACTGTTTCGAAGAAAAAAAACCCAACCCATACTTAGTGGTTGACACACTCCACCTCTGCCTTCCTGTGGCCCTTCCCCTGTTCTTCTCGTTGTCCTTTGCTGCCCCTGCCCTCTCGCACCACTGCATTCACCGTTAAATCTGAAAGCAGTAAACCCAAATCACCCAGGATGGATTTCAGACCCCACGACTTTCTGCTGCATCTGCTCCTCACCATCCTCCAACTTTTGGGTAAGAACATTTTTTTATCAGAAAGATAAACGTCTTGTCCTTTAGTCGCAGCAACCATTTGACAATCATGTCTAATTTTTTTCTCTTTTTTTTCTTCCTATTACAGCAAACGGTGCACGAGGACAGTCATGTAAGTGTAACTGCAAACTCTACTGTGTATATGTATGTATTTTATTTATCTCAAGTCAGTTATCTGACATCAACGTGTGATTATTTAATTTATATTTCTTGCAAAAAGTCATGCCTGCAGTAATGAGATATCGTATGGAGCACTTCTCACCTACGTTTTATTTTCATGCCTTGGAAGAAAAACATTGAGGCTGTTCCTTAGATTAGATTGGATTGAACTTTATTGATTCCACTCTGTGGGAGAACTCCTCATCGAGGAATTGAATCCCTGTCTCCCACGTGACAGGCGGGGATACTCACCACTGTAGTGACCAGGAGCTTCATGTGAGGGAGCTGGAGTTTTACCTTTTGAATAGTTTTTAGACTATGAAAATGAATTAAAAAATATATGAAAATATATAAATATATATATATATATATATATATGTATATATATATATATATATATATATATACGAGTGTATCTTTTTAAAGAAATTTTTTTCAAATTCCCAACCAACTAATGGCTGTCTTTTTGGCTAACATTTAACTTTTTTGCTAACATTTGGATACATCCACTTTTTTTTGTTTTTTAGCAATTAGTTATTTAGGTGCTAGCTTATAATTGTCTCTCAGCTATTTGTTGGCTACCTTTAGCATTCTTTTAAACTTTAGTTTTTATTTAACTTTACCTACCTTTTGGTTGCTTGCATCTAATTATTAGCTATTTATATTTTTGAATAAAGTTTATCCATTTCTTGGGAATCTTCTAGCCGTTCTCTGGGTAATATCATTAAAATGTTTTTATATAATTGCCTTAAAAATTGCATTTGTCACATATACGGTTATACCAAATACAATATTAAGTGAAATTAGATTTTGTATCTGCGTTCACTTCAAACAGAGACGATGAAGTGAATACGTACATGTAAATAATATAGGTATAAACATTTTAGCTTTTTTCTTTAAGGACCAATGATAGCGTTTGTTTTTTTTTTTTAATGTTATGAATGTGAACTGTGGCTGTTTGTAAAGTGAGGCTCTGCCTTTCACTCTCACTGCTGTCACCGTACCTCAGTGAAACCTGCTGCTGTCCACTCCAACAGGCTTCTCCTGCAGGATGTTGACTAAGTGATTGTTTTGAAGCGGTTGAAGTGGGTTACACGGTGTTGTTGTTGCTGCTGAAACAGAGCGGGAGAACAATAAATCAACACAGCTCTGGGGGGGGTGGAGGTGGAGGTGGAGGTGGGGGTGTTGAGGCTTTTTCCTTCCTTCAGCAGCTCCTGCTTACTGTGTGGTAGAGAGAGGGTAAAAGAGCAGCTTCACCTTCAGCCTGAGAGGGAAAACAATAACACTCCCTGACTTTTGCACTGTTTTATAACCTCGGTATATTGTGTTGGTTTTACATCAGGGAAAAAAAAACAACATCTGCTAGCTGTTAATGTCTGTGTGTGTGTGTTAAAAAAAAATCTCCTAGCTGTTAATGTCTGTGTGTGTGTGTGTGTGTGTCCATGACAGTGTACATCATAGACAATGTTGGCCTCTGGATCCTCCCTGCCAACACTGTGCCCAGTGGGACGTCAGTCACCCTGCAGTGCCAGGTCACCGTCAGTCACGACAACACTGCACACCTGAGCCACACCTTCCAGCTCAGGCGTGACGAGGTTCTCATCTACAGCATCACCACCACTGAAGATAAGGTGACGTTTGAACTGACCCCGTCCAGGGCTGCCGACTCTGGGAGCTACGAGTGTCAGGTCACAGTCAAGGAAAAAAGCCAGAAGAGCCACAGCCAAAAGCTGGAGGTGACAGGTAAACCATCGGAGGAAAAACAACATTTCAACCATTTATCTGGAACTGTATGACTGCAGTTTGAGGAGGTTATAAAAGTGAAGAATCCACAGCCTTCTGTGTTGGATTATCTCTCCTCAGGTCTCCAGACCCCGGTCCTGAACCTGGAGACCAACACACTCTACGAGGGTAATGACTTCAAAGCCACCTGCAGAGCTCCGGAGGAGAAAGGATCCCTCGTTTTTCGATTCCTCCGGAGGTACAGAAACGAAGAGCCTCAGACGATGAAAACAGTCCCAGCCACCGGGAACTCCTCGGAGACCACGCTGGTCCTGGGTCAGGCCGGAGACTACTCCCTGTACTGCGAGTACGATATCACACTGGTTTCTGGGACCAGGCGATCCAATCACAGCAATGAGGAGCATGTGATCGTCAAAGGTGATTCAAAAGGCTGCCTTACTTCAAATAACTACTTAGAATAAATATAGGCGTGCGGCTAACTCTTCTCTGTGTGTTTGCAGTACTGACAATCAAGCCCGTCATGAACGTGCTGCCATCGTCTAACGTCTACGAAGGCGACCTGGTGGAGGTGGTGTGCAGAGTTGAGGGCGCTGTAAAAGACGTCCATATTTACCTAACGAAGAACAAGAGGATCCTGAATGAAACCTCCTCCTCCATTCTCCGACACGTATTCAGAGCACAGGAAGGAGATTCTGGGGAGCTGGTGTGTAAGACGGAGTGGAGAAATGTGCAGAAACAAAACTATTACCCATTCACAGTCAAAGGTAAATACAGTACAACACATCTGTGTCAGTAAATATAATCCTGTACGAGCAAAAAGACAAACTCCTCTGTGGGGTTTTTGTTTGTTTTGTTTTTTTTGTTTTTTTTTTGTTTTTTACAGAGCTCTTCTCAAAACCAAGACTGGTTCTGGAGCCTTTAGAACTTTTCGAGGGAGACCGCATGACACTGACCTGCACCGTCACTGTTTACGTCCCTGAGCGGATCAGCCAAGGAACCCTGCAGTACACCGTCTACAAGAACAACGTCAAGATAACACCTTCTCAGAGCTACATCACCATGGCACATCCCAGCAACAACGGAAACTACACCTGTAAAGCCGCGGCTAACTTTCGGTCGCACAGTTTCATTAAAGAAAGTCAGACAGTTGTGGTTGAGGCCAAAGGTGAGGATTACTGTTAGGTCGAGCGACTGTCGTTGACTGCTAGCACGTGCATGCTGACATGCGAAGTCAAGACGTTGTTGTGCTTCACTAACGAGGAAAGGGTAAATTAATGAACCTAGGAAAACGTTTATAAAAAGAGAGGCGTGGTTAAATTTCTACAGAAATGTATAAAAATAAATAACATTTTTTATTCTTATAACTACAAACTACCAATGCAGTTCTGAAGTCTTAAGTGATGAAGAGAAGTATATTCGTAAAATAAAGCACAGAGCCACATTGTTTTGTGGAGCTGCACACCCCAAAACTTTAAACCTGCCCTCTCGTCTCAGAACGAGCTTGTAGTTTGGATTCAGCTACTTTTGTGATGTTGATTGTTTTCCTTGCACCGTCTGAACGACTACTTCCTGTCCTCTGTAGTTATGCTCTCCAAGCCAGTGTTGAGCGTGGTGAACGGTACGCTCATATTAGGTGTACATCATAGACAATGTTGGCCTCTGGATCCTCCCTGCCAACACTGTGCCCAGTGGGACGTCAGTCACCCTGCAGTGCCAGGTCACCGTCAGTCACGACAACACTGCACACCTGAGCCACACCTTCCAGCTCAGGCGTGACGAGGTTCTCATCTACAGCATCACCACCACTGAAGATAAGGTGACGTTTGAACTGAACCCGTCCAGGGCTGCCGACTCTGGGAGCTACGAGTGTCAGGTCACAGTCAAGGAAAAAAGCCAGAAGAGCCACAGCCAAAAGCTGGAGGTGACAGGTAAACCATCGGAGGAAAAACAACATTTCAACCATTTATCTGGAACTGTATGACTGCAGTTTGAGGAGGTTATAAAAGTGAAGAATCCACAGCCTTCTGTGTTGGATTATCTCTCCTCAGGTCTCCAGACCCCGGTCCTGAACCTGGAGACCAACACACTCTACGAGGGTAATGACTTCAAAGCCACCTGCAGAGCTCCGGAGGAGAAAGGATCCCTCGTTTTTCGATTCCTCCGGAGGTACAGAAACGAAGAGCCTCAGACGATGAAAACAGTCCCAGCCACCGGGAACTCCTCGGAGACCACGCTGGTCCTGGGTCAGGCCGGAGACTACTCCCTGTACTGCGAGTACGATATCACACTGGTTTCTGGGACCAGGCGATCCAATCACAGCAATGAGGAGCATGTGATCGTCAAAGGTGATTCAAAAGGCTGCCTTACTTCAAATAACTACTTAGAATAAATATAGGCGTGCGGCTAACTCTTCTCTGTGTGTTTGCAGTACTGACAATCAAGCCCGTCATGAACGTGCTGCCATCGTCTAACGTCTACGAAGGCGACCTGGTGGAGGTGGTGTGCAGAGTTGAGGGCGCTGTAAAAGACGTCCATATTTACCTAACGAAGAACAAGAGGATCCTGAATGAAACCTCCTCCTCCATTCTCCGACACGTATTCAGAGCACAGGAAGGAGATTCTGGGGAGCTGGTGTGTAAGACGGAGTGGAGAAATGTGCAGAAACAAAACTATTACCCATTCACAGTCAAAGGTAAATACAGTACAACACATCTGTGTCAGTAAATATAATCCTGTACGAGCAAAAAGACAAACTCCTCTGTGGGGTTTTTGTTTGTTTTGTTTTTTTTGTTTTTTTTTTGTTTTTTACAGAGCTCTTCTCAAAACCAAGACTGGTTCTGGAGCCTTTAGAACTTTTCGAGGGAGACCGCATGACACTGACCTGCACCGTCACTGTTTACGTCCCTGAGCGGATCAGCCAAGGAACCCTGCAGTACACCGTCTACAAGAACAACGTCAAGATAACACCTTCTCAGAGCTACATCACCATGGCACATCCCAGCAACAACGGAAACTACACCTGTAAAGCCGCGGCTAACTTTCGGTCGCACAGTTTCATTAAAGAAAGTCAGACAGTTGTGGTTGAGGCCAAAGGTGAGGATTACTGTTAGGTCGAGCGACTGTCGTTGACTGCTAGCACGTGCATGCTGACATGCGAAGTCAAGACGTTGTTGTGCTTCACTAACGAGGAAAGGGTAAATTAATGAACCTAGGAAAACGTTTATAAAAAGAGAGGCGTGGTTAAATTTCTACAGAAATGTATAAAAATAAATAACATTTTTTTATTCTTATAACTACAAACTACCAATGCAGTTCTGAAGTCTTAAGTGATGAAGAGAAGTATATTCGTAAAATAAAGCACAGAGCCACATTGTTTTGTGGAGCTGCACACCCCAAAACTTTAAACCTGCCCTCTCGTCTCAGAACGAGCTTGTAGTTTGGATTCAGCTACTTTTGTGATGTTGATTGTTTTCCTTGCACCGTCTGAACGACTACTTCCTGTCCTCTGTAGTTATGCTCTCCAAGCCAGTGTTGAGCGTGGTGAACGGTACGCTCATATTAGGAAAACCTTTCCAGCTTCACTGTCACAGCGACAACGGCACGCTTCCCATCAAGTACACCCTACAAGGTCCAAAGGGGTTCGTCGGGTTCGTGATGGTGACCAGGCCGGAGCAAAAGGCCATCTTTAACTGCCCGCCCATCTACAAGAGCTCAGACCTCAACAAATTTATTTGTCACGCAAATAACAGCCCACAAAGGCCTGTCGAGTTTGGATTAGTGTCGCAGCTGTTCCAGACGACCAAAATCATAGGTTTGTTCATTCGTTTTAACAAACTGATGTTATCGGCATCAGGTGGACTGACAAAAAATCAGATCTGATTTTCCTCTCCGCAGAACCCGTGTCACAGCCTGTGTTAACCATACACCCCCATATGGGGGACGCCTCTGAGGGTCAGGACCTGACCCTGAACTGCTCCGTTCAGAGCGGCACTCCTCCCATCACCTTCTCCTGGTATCACACTGAGAGAGGTGCTCTCACCACTCAGACCTCCAAGAAACTGGAGCAGTCCTTTCACATACGCAACATCAAGGAAAGTCACAAGGGTGGATACTACTGCAGGAGCGACAACGACGCCAGCCACACCAAGCAGAGTAACACCGTCACTGTCAAAGGTGGGTTTTTAACGTCTGCCTTTTAGAAGTTGATCCGCTGTCCTTATATATTTGCCCAACAAATTATTAAATATTTTACTTACATTTTTATTCACATTGAATTCATTTAATTGTGGTCTACTATCTATCTATCTATCGATCCCTTCCACCAGCCGTCACAGGTTTGTTAAACAATCATCAATATATTTGACTCGATGCCTCTTGTGTTGTGCAGTCAGGTGGGCCGGCTGGAAAAAAGGTCTCGTCGCGTTCTTCTGTATCCTCCTGGTCCTGGTGCTGATCATCGTTGTCGCCTTCAGGAAACGCCTCCGTCAGTTCAAAAGGAAACAAACAGTGGAGCTGTCGGTGTGAGTGGCTGTTACTGTTACTGTATGTGCTGAGAAGATGGAGTGTTACAGTGCTGTAATAACTCTAAGTACAGTGGCGCCCAGGGAACTTCCTGCTTTAATAGGCTAATTGTCTTTGTGTCGACCTCGCCACAGGAAGTCGGCCGGCACCAAAGTGGAGCGACTGAGTCTCACTCAGGCCGACATGATGGAAGCTGCAAATGGTAAAGCTACAAACAAAATATATATATACATGATTATCTATAACTGGTTCAGACCTTTTTTGAGACCAAGGACTCACCTCCTACTATATATTGTGTATTAATTGTGTTAATTTTATTTTATTATATTTTATTTTATGAAGTACAGCTTAGTACAACATACTGTATTTCTTTTTTCCTCTCTGTTAATGTCTATTTGAGGGTCCTCAAATACAAATCTTTGGAAGAAAAATGTATAAAAACAACAAAAAATCTCATTAAACAAACATTTTACAACACCCTCCAATACATGCACAGACTCTCTATGGGGTCACAGTCCCCATGTTGATCCACCCAAGTCTAAAAATCAAGGATATCCTGAATAATCTAATCTGATCTTTTCCTTTCTGTGCAGTGACACCGGGCATGATGGGTAAAAGTGTTTGGAGCGAACACGTTTCAGTCTCCGGTGAGTGAAATGAACTGTGTTTTGTTTTATTTTGTGAATTTTATAACGTGTTTAAAAAATAGTGGATATACTAGTGTTAGCCCAAAGGTTAGCCCAAACAAAGCAAACTTTTTGCCAACATCCTCAAATCAATTTTGGTCAGAGAATACTTATCCAAATTAACACATTTAAATAATTAATTAAAATAACTAAATAAGTAACTACTAACCTGAAGTTGAAAGAAAGTTGTCAAAACATTAGCTTATGGTTAGCCCAAAATGTGACATATTAAGGCAAATGACACTAAAAATTAAGAAGTTTATTTCCACCATGTTCAGCATAAATTGTCTTTTTAAAGAAATTCAGCTTCATACATGTCAGTGTGTGTTCTGTGCTCCAGAATCTGATGATCAACGCAGCGAGGCGGCAACTGACGCTGTATATACAGGTGAAGAGCCGACAGGCAGATGCTAACGGAGGTGAAACTGCCTCTGAGTCTAAATATTACTTCTGGGTGAATTATGACCCTCTGGTATATGAAAATATGTTTGTTCTTTTTGTGTTTGTTCTCCATCAGGTCCAGAAGAGAAGGGAACAGACGTCATGAAGAACGACATGAGGAACTCCAAACATGGTAGACTTTCCGTCCTGCTCTTTATTCAAATCACTTCAGCTGTATGTAATGAGGAAAAAAAACTAGGCTATTAAAAAAAAAGGCTACAGCAGGAAACAGGGTCGGCCCAAAGTGTAAACACGTTCATTGTTGTTTAAAAGAATGTCCCATGAAAACGCAGCGCCCATTCTCCAGGTGTCCACTTCCTGCTTAAATCAAAGACAACTTCCTGCTCAACAATCAGAGTGGAGCAGCGGTTACATCCGCTCAGGCAGAGTCAGCAGTGTACGCCATTGTTCGATAGTCCACAGGGAAACGCTGGTCCATTGTTTAGTCACTGGGTCCTAACTACGGTGCTCTGGCAGTTTTTGCGTCATCACATGTCACACAGTGATGCAGCAGAAGTGAAACAGGAGGCGTTGAACTGTTCTTTATTCTTCATTTTATTTCAGCAACAAAAATGAGTCAGAATCTTTGTATAATTCTGGGACACTTTTAAAATCAGATAAAGATAAATAAATAAGTTATAAATGTATTCAAGTTTCTGAATTTCGGCAAAAGGTTTTGATTCAGCGTTTCACAAAGGACATTTCAAAGGCTCTGGATTTCTGTCCTTGGACGTTTGTGACCTGGAAACAAAGACAAATGCAAATACAACATTTTACAATTAAGTAATTCTCTGCTGCTTACTGACGTGTTCGGCCTGAGACGTGTCGATTTTTTTGTAAGCATTTCCTCTGAATGATTATTTCCTGACTTTGTTCTCTGCTTTGTTTTCGCAGATGATGCAGAACAGACCGATGGTGTAAGTAGCAACACCTCACCCCTCTTCACACCCTCCTCTACCACACAAGATATTTTATTTAATTTATTTCCCACTCATAATAATTAATTGTGCAGCATCTTTTTTTTTAAAGAGAACTTTATTGATTCCACACTGGGGAAATTGATGTGTAAACAGCAGATCTGCTGCAACAGGCTGCCCAACAGGAGGCGCCAAGTATGTGGTTCCTCTGGGGCTCGAGCCCGGGACCTTCTGCCCGTAAGGCAGATGTGTAAGGAGGCCTGATACACTAAGGAACCTTTCAGCAAACTTACTGTCAACCTCAACAATTATAAGCCAGGAGTCCAAAACTCCTGTATTTTTTAAAATTCATTCATTTATTTTATTTTTAACTATTTTTATTTTAAATAATTTATGTTATGGTTACAAGACATTTTTACAGGATCTAATAAGTAAAGTAAATATTTTCTGCTTGTTGTGGTCTAGTCTAATCAATATTAGCAATTCTCCTTTTCTTTCATGTGATTTACCTTTAACTTTAGAGCCTGTTTTTTTTCATCCTGTCTGTCTTCAGCAGGGGTCACTCCAATATGCAGAACTGAATCAGAATATTGGTCACCATGGCGACCAAGGAGACACCGTAGACCAGCACATTGAGCATGTAGACCATGAAGGACACAGCGACCAGTCTGTCCAACAAGACCACCTGGTTGAGACTGAGACCGACCCGGCCGTCAACGGAGAATGAATGAAACCATGACCAAGGACCCCCCCCCTGCTGACTGGACGTGAATATTTATTTTTCCTTTATTTTTCCAGCTTTTTTTTTACTCTGATGCAGCTGGAGAAATCACATGATACTGAGGGGAATTACAAAATGTGTTTTTACGGGGAGGTGGGTTTAAACGGGGTACAAAGACAGACTGCACAGCAAATTCACTTGCTTTGAAAAGCAAATAAAACGTTTGTTTCACTGTTCAAAATTGAATTCAGTGTTAATATTTGAATTTGACATGAGTAGAATATAAATGACTAACCTCAGAGTCACAGGTGAGGATGATTGTGACTATTATTTCCTTATGGAGGAGTCTGAGAACTCTGCTTCAGCCGCTGGAGAGCAGCCATCAAGCAGTTGCCCCATGGAAACAGTGTCACCTTGTGTTGATCAAAAATATTAGCTGCACTTTCACTGTGTTGCTGCTTTAACATTGCATCGTTTGCATCATTTTTGACATATTTTATATATAAACTTCTTGTTAATAACTCATTAAAAACATTATAATAATCATTACACACTCTAGTCTGTCGGCTCGAACAGCGTTTTGCATTAGCTAGTGATAGCAGCACAAGAACTGTTGAGGAATGTTTAGATAACAGTTTTCGTCATGTTGTAACAGTTCATTTCACTCTGTGCATGTTTGTTTTTACAGCCCAAGATACAGCAGTTGTTTTAAGGTGAAGCTCTGCGGATTCTAAATATAATGCACTGAAACCTAATTCCGAAGTTTACATTGGGTTCAGTCAGTTTACGGCAGCTGCTGTCGACGTGTGGATTATGAGGATCTGCCTCTTTTGACAGGAAGCTCTGAGGATCACTGAGGTGTAGATTAAGCCCGTGTTACAGCTGACACCGGAGCTGACAGCAGCAGCTTGCCGGCGTTGCGTTTTCATCTCCATTCTTAGCTCAGTCTGAGGTATAGATTGGCCTGAACACCGAGTTTTCCTCTTCATTATCTTTCTGCCTCCAGTGTGTGTTGGCGTGAGCGTATGTGTCATCCATCCCAGTTCACAGCGCTGTCCTTCCGCTGTTCCCTCCCACAGCAGCCTGTGGGTATTTTATCCATTACTTACGTGCACAATGTGTGTCAGCAGGTTGTGGTACAGCGTGTGCTCTCACACACCAAACAATGTTGCTGTTTTTTTTTTTATTTGGCCAGTGTGGCATCTGTGATTGGATGTGATTTCAGTTCTGAGCTGCCAGAATGAAAACTCACTCCCTCCGTTTGGGGCTGCGTTCTAATCCACTCATTAATGGTGATGGAGTGAAGGTGCACTGTTACACAAATATGAGTAATTCAACCTTTGCTGTATAATTAGATTAATTTAATTTTTATTCATAGTCAAATCCTGGCCCCACTCAGTGTTAAATTATTTCAAGCTTGACTCGACTTGCACTTTTTATTTTTGGGATGTATGTAACCGGGAGACAAAACCACCAAGTCATTTAACGAGTGCTTTTTCGCCGGGTTGTTCTGGGCTCTGCACGCTTGCCCATGGATGGTAGTGTTCTACTCAGATCATAACCCGCTCTGTCAGGGGGGAAGATGGTGGGTTTACAGCAGTTCCTTGAATTATGACATGTGAGGTCATACATGTTGGCATACCTTTGAGATTCATGTTACAAGAAGCTAAAGTTAAACCACTCCCATAATGTAATGCTTCCACATGATCAACAGTTATGGAGACACTAGTGGCATTATGACAGAACTACGTTTGCGTCCATATTTACTGTGTATATACAGTATGTACTGTACATATATCTTCAGAGAGACATCGATCAGTTCCACTGCCGTCCTCGGTCCTTTTTACTCCACCATGTACACAGGTGAATGTCTCTGCCCTGTAACCTGATCCAGACCTTGTATCTGGAGCAACACTCCTTCACTGCCATTGGCTGCTCTGCTATAATTAGCATATTGACCCCTTTGAAATGCATTCTGGGAATATTCTGCCTTTCACTTGGCCTTATGGGGCCAGTGCTGATGTATATACATGTATATATATTTATGTATATCTGTATGTATATATGTTTATACATACACATATATATAAATTTATTTTTAATTTTTCTGTACTTGCAGTTGGAACCTAGTGTCCATAGAAAAGTCTTGTTATGATGCTGTGAACTGACCAAGAAGTAGTCGGTGATGTGGCGAGTGTCATAGAGAGACCGTGTCTGAGGTCAGCTTCTCAGATCCAGTTTCTCATAGGCACTATTCATTTTCCCTCTTTTTAAATTGGTCTCCCCAATTTGCAGACCATGACCTGAATGCCAAGACATAACACTAACAAGGGCTATAATTAATTTGGCATTTGACAGGATGGTGGTATTTAACAGTCTGCAGAGTTTTACATAGAACGCACTGGGGTTCATTTATGGGTCATGTTGGAAAGTTTGTCAGAACAGCGAGTCCAGAAAATCGTTCTGGACATAATTAATCAGGTGTTTAATTCTTCAAAGAAATATCAGGAAGTATTTTCTGTCGTATTGTTTTTTTCGTGCGGCCCACTCATCGGACTGCTCGCTAAAAACAGCAATAATGCCATTTTTGCTTGTGACCCTTTCATTTTCCTTAACTCCTCAACTGAAGGGTAGATTTAGTAGGTTGACCTATAAACTTCTTTTAACTTTATAATTGGTGAGGCATGTAAATCATGTAAATCCAGGATATTAAATACAGTTTGGTGAGGCTCATGTAAATCCAGGATATTAAATACAGGAGCAGCAGCAGATGAGGAGGAGGTTCACTGGACTCGCTCTCTCCTCCTCGTGAACTGCTGACTGTTTCCAGACGCCAACACATGCCCTTCATTGTGCAATCGAGCATCAACAAATTATGCACAACCGGTGACCTCTGACCCCCTTTTCCACGGATGCTGGACTCAGCTTCCGTAACCCTATCCTCCCACAAAGCGTCAGCAGCTTTGATGCTACTCCTACCCCACATTATACTAAAATATCTACATCCTGCGGTTCCCGCTCTGTCCAGGTCAGCTATAGCTTCTGTTAGCATTTTTAATATGTGGTCCATGTCAGCAGGAGGCACCAATGATTATTTCATTGCCCTTTATTGGGCCACTAGGGGGTGTAGTAAAAATTAAGCAATACAGTGTAGAAATGCTTTGATTCTCCTCTCATTGGGACTCATATTTAATTGTTCTACCACTCAGATATATATACACAGTGTCCAGGAGGGGTCCTCAGGATCAAATGTCATTTCTTATGTCAGTCAGTATCAGACTCTTATGTCTCTCATGGGAGAAACCTAAGAATAACTGTCACCAGTATGAACTTGTTACTTTTATTACATAACAGATAGGAAAAGTGGTCTCTAATTATTTCATGACATACAATTAGATAAATTATTGTAACACACCGCACCGTAGCTCACAAAATAAAATAATTGACAGATAACTTATTTTCTTTTGAAAAAAAATCCAATATTACAGTATAATGAGGCCCAAATTATTTTTGTTCCACATGAGAATTAAATGGGATTTACCTTTTAATTAAACATTATTTAAATCGTAAGTATTGTATTTTTTTAAACTACATAAACAAAGTCAATTGGTGTTAATGAATATGTGGAAATTCTCATGGAAACTATGCACTCATTGGGAAGTGGGTGGGGGGGTCAACAACCAAGTCTGGCAACATAAGACCTGTCGTGTGTCTCAGGTCAGCGGACGACTTAGTTCTGATCCATCAGTGTAATCTAATTTAATTGGCCATAGAATATTTATGACGGACATGTCAGTGTTTACCATTAAAAAAAAGACCTTCGGTATGTTCATATAATAAGATTGGATGTCACTCCCTTCAATCCAATTCACTCTAAATGACTACATTTTAGTGTTGACATTTCAGGTTTTGTGCTCACTACGACGGATCCATCAGCACAGCACGGATCACCGCATCACCCTGTCCGTCTTTCTCGCTGAAAGAAAGGATTAAACACCCCTGATTTAGACTTCAACTGTTTTTTTTTCTGAACCACCACATGTGCCGCGGCCAAATATACTTTGTACCCTGAGTGAGTACCTCCCACTGGGGCCGGGAGAATTCAGACACTGACCCCATTGTGTTCAGCACCACTGATGCAGGTGAGTGCACAGATCCGTTATTACTAGATCTCTTTTTTTTTAAATCCTCCACAAATACAAGCCTGCACTCCGAGTCCAGATAATTCCAAACAGATTTAATGTTAATGAGGTCCAGACACTGATAAGCCCGATCAACTGCTGAAATTCAGCCCCAAACTGTCATGGAGTCCTCTTTATTCTTCATCATAACTGACCTTTTTAGTCCAAGTGATTTATTAGTGCAACCAACCTTGGTTAATAACCAGCTGTAGACCAGGGGACGCTTCACAGTTCAGTCACAGAACATCATGCCAGTTATTGGACTGTTAGGAAATGCACAGCAGGAACATGTGTTGGCAGAGGATTGCTTGTGTTACAAAACCATCGACAGGTTGTATACTACAGGTCTGGTGTGACAGACAGACAGACAGATAGAAAACACGCCGTCCTCTACATGCTAAAGGGCAGGTAGGCAGTGGAAGGGCAGCCTCGGACTATGTATAGCAGAGAGCGTGTGAGAGCCTTCTCTCTGTCATGTGTCCAAGAGTGGGCATGACACTGGGCTGTATGAAGGAAACATTTTCCACATGCTAAGGTTCTGGTTACCGCTGGTGATGAAGTGCTTGTCCAAAGGAGTGAGGAAAACTGCAAGGAGAGTCACCATAGCTCAGGAACACCCCGCGCCCGGAATACCATATAAGACACTGTGAAACTGGATCCTTTTAAAAAATACTACCTGAAGCTATGATGACATTTGGCTGTGGATGTCTTTTCCTGTCTGTAGAACACGTATTGGTGGAGCAGATGAAGTCATATTTACATTAAAGTCAAATCAGAACTGCTGTTTTATAGCTTTGGTCGATGGTTTGACTCAGTCCTGAAGGCCTAACCCTTGTGTGACCTAAAAGTGATGAACATACCACATGTGTCAAATATACAGTGTAGAAGAATTTTATAATTTTTTTAATTATTTTATTAATAGGCACAAATGAGATCAAGGTCTGGAGTGAGGTCACACTGCGAGTGGTTTGAATTGTGTTGAGAAACAAAAAACCGTGGCCTCCCACAGCTGGTCGCGGCTCGCCCACATATAACCTCTGAGGGAGATATTTACTGGTGTATCTAGTTATGATGCAAAGGGCAAGCAGAGGTGTCACATGACAGATGTGCTGTGGAGAAACAGAAGAACGCTTCCTGTGGGCAAACCAAAATATTTATTCCACTGTTTGGACTGCAATTCTAGGAAATATTGTTATTATTCTTTGACTCACTGAAGGAATCAAATAAAAAATGAATAGTAATAATTGAAGAAGTAACTTAATATATTTTCTCATGTTGTTTTGGATTTTTGCAATGGTGAGCAGTGACACAGCTTAGCCTGAAAGGACCAAGCTCCTTATGACCTTTATGACCTTTATACTTTTTGTCTAAAAAATAATTTCAAAAAATCTAAAACTATGTTCTGCCTTCGGTTAAATTAATATTTAACCAAACTACAAATTAAAAGTAATATTTGTGCACCTGTACATAAGAAACGTAAAGACTGAAGTACTTAAGAGTTTCCTCTTGCATGTTCCAAGACTAAAAAAAGAAATCTGTAAACAACGTTAAAATACATAATATTAGTCTGATGGCCTGGTACTGAGCCACTGTCAACAACAAAAGTCAAAATAAAATCATGTGCTGATGCTTTACGATGTTGTTTTGCTGTTGTGCAACTCAACTGTCTTGTTCACGTCACCAAAACAACACGTTTCTCAGAAAAGTGACACATTTAACCTCAGGTGACAACGTAAATACTGTGGCTATGTCCCAGAAATCAACAGGACTAAGGCACTGAGCCTTCAATACACACACTATTAACATTTAGACATGATAATAATCCTGGTTGTTTGTGTTTATGTAAGAAGATCTCTTGAAATCAAACCCAAAGAGAACATTTTGGCAGCAGTTTTTACGACAAAGGGGCGGGAACAGTGTCAGAGAACATGTGCCTGGACAGAGGGAGGAGCTTCAGTGGCGGATCTCATTTCTAAACTGAAGTCACTGGATGTTAAGCCCCAAAATAGCTCTACAGAAGGTATATAGGGGTCCTCTTCAGCTGGTCCTGTTAGACGATAGTCCCGTTCAACAGCAAACACACCGTGCATTCAAAGTCAGACAGAGGAGAAATTCACAGCAGATGAGAAAAAGAAGATCATCTTCCTGAGAGAAGGGGATTTGAACAGAGTCAAAAGAAGCACAGAGTTTGAAGAGAACTTTAAATGAACTTTACAATGCTAAGTGAGAAACATTAGAGGCTGCACCAGGTTGGATAATTAAAGGAGACCAGGAGGACACAAAGAGGACACACATCAAAGGATACAGGCCATTTGTTTGGGGATTTCTTTATTTTTCTGGATTTCTCACTTCCCTCCTCTTGAGCTGACGGCAGAGGAGGAGGAACTGCAGTGATGAAGTTCAACTATCATGTACCAGCGTCCACGTACACACGCACATCACATTACACACCAACGTACCAAACACCTTCACAGTACACCCCATCACAGTACACACCAACACAGTACAAGTCGTCATATACCTCACCCACAAAGTACAGCTCAACGCAGTACACTCCGTCACAATACACTTCCACTTCTTACAAAAGTTCACCCACCTACATCCCCTCGTACAGCTCAGAACCACGGTACACTGCGTCACGCCGTGCACAAGCGAAGATAACCCCCACACCTGTAAAAAGGGCTGTGCACTTCCCCAATGACATCATCTTTCAGGATAACGTAAGGCGAGGAGATTTGGAGCAGATTGGCCGCTTCATGAGAGCAAGAAAAGTTCGTGTGGATACTATTTTTCTCTCAGGTGGGTTCACTTTCTTAAATTACTTACCAGCAAACCTCCCTGCAGGCATTGAAGATTTGTTTGACAGCAACTAAATATTTATCAAAGGGCCAAGATTTTTTCTGGACAGACACTTTGGGGGCACTCAAAAAATGAAAAAAATTCAAATTTTTGTGTAACTTTATTATTTGATGTTTATATTGAAATCCCTTAATGGGCCAGATTTAACAGTTCGACGGGCCAAATTGGGCCCATGGACCACCTGTTGATAATCGCTGTTTTACAGAAACAGTGACACTCACTGCATGGTTTGCACATCTGCTGAGAACTCATGAATGTTTTATGTGCAGGCATGGCAGCACTACATGAGGCTGTGCTAACAGGGAACCTGGAGGTGGTGAAACTCCTGGTGAAATATGGCGCTGATGTACATCAGAGAGATGAAGATGGCTGGACACCACTTCACATGGCCTGCAGTGATGGGTACCCAGAAATTGCAAGGTAGAAATATTTTCATCTTCTGCAGAAAAAAGAAAGAATGTGATTTTATTATATTAAAAGATGAAAATTGTGGCTGGTCAACTGGTACCTAGAAGCAAAAGCTTCTCAATTTAATTTTACCACAGCAGTTTGACAGTACATTTTGGATACAATTGGGGAAAAGAAACATTCAAATAAATAACTACTAATATTTCACCACAATGTTTGTATATATTGAACACTTATTAAACACTTATATTCCGCCTCATTCTATTCTCAGGTATCTGCTGGCAATGGGAGCCAGCACAGAGGCACAGAACGAAAGCGGAGAAAAGCCATCGGACCTCATTGACCCAGACTGTAAAGAGCTGACCAAACTGTTTGAGACTGGCTGTGTGTGACTTACAGGCCCCCCTGTGGACAGTTTGCTCGTAGCACCAATCCTGTTAAAACTGGATGATTATTCTCCACTGTGTGAACGTATGTTTTTCTTTTTCATAATGCCAGTGTCTATGATATAATGAGTTTTTTTCTCACTCCGAACTGTAGAACCGTAGAAAATTATGGACAGCTGATTCAGTTGTCTTGTGTTGAAGACAGTCAACTTCCTGGGCTTTCATTTTATGTCAATACATCCATGTTTCTAATTCCGTCTATGTTTAAAATTACATGTTGTTTCACTGAAGTCATCTTTGTATGTGATGGAAAGCTGCCTGCACACTTACATTATATGCTCTTTACTGTTTTGTTTTAGGGACTGTGTAAGTGTAGTTGACAGTTGATCACCACTGTAACAGGTTATACCACTGTCTTTCTGTATATTAATTGATATTTTCCATCTTACACTAATAGATATGTATCTTCACTGCTGGGCAGAATGAGGTCAATCTTAATAATGTCCAATGCTTTACATATACAGTAAGGCATAAAGTGTAAAAGAAAACAAAGTTAATAATTTACAAGCATTTTTACTGATGTAAAAGTTCATCCATGATATCTTTCATTGTACTGGAAATATGAATGTGAGCAAAAGAAGTCTTATAATTCTCTTTTCATGGATACATATTTTTGTACATTTTCATAAATAAAAAACTTTTATAAAAAATAGTATTATCCTATTGTGATTTTTTAACAACGTGTGTACAGTGGGTCACAGTTTTGTTCTGTTCGCTTTTTCAATTCAAGCATTATTAGCCCAATTGTTATCTGCTATGTCCTCAACTGTGGCCAGATTTTTTTTATAGTTTAACTATAATTGTGGGGAAATGACCAGTTGCATTGGAGACAAGAAGAACTTTAGGGGCAATAAATAAAAAATATTCTTTCATGTAGTATAAACAATTTATAATTATCGATCATTCTAGTCTAAATTTATTGGAAAACATGGATTTTCTTTTTGAATAGTGTGAAAGAGAGGGCGGACTAAAGGATATATCAAAGCAGATAAACAAATAACGATAGACAAAAAAAAACACATTGGAAAATATGTTAAACTGAAATTCTATTGCACATAGCGTGCTGATTTTTCGCTTTCTCTTTAATCAACTTCCCCAATCGGTATTTTAATTTTCTAAATCGTATTTGTTCAACTCTATTCTGTTCTTTTCTATTCTACCCGTTTCACTTGTCTTCTTTCACTTCCGTGTCTTCCCCGGAAATGATTCGTTGGCATTGGCAACGTATTAGCCTAGACTAACGGCGTTTACAAATTTAAATATATATATATACAAAAGAACGGATCTTTTAAAGGGGTAAGTTGTCGATTCGTTTTCACTTTTCTATATCATGTGTGACTTTATTTTGTCATTATGGTACCAGTTGTATTTTTTAATATTTTTATATGCTGCAGATATGTTAGCTGTGTTAAAACCAACGATACGCCAAGACAATGTACAGGAGCAGCTAGCAGGCTAATGTTAGCTCACACTATTGTGTCAGCATATCTCTAGTTTGCTATCTCTTGAGACGTCGCTGCTGGTTACTGCAGTTCCTAGTCACAATAAAGACTCTAGAGACAATACACGATGTGTTATGAAAGATAACCCAGAGCTAACACACTTGACTTAGCATTTAGCTCTGCTGTAGCTAATACTGATGAAGTTAAAACGTAAACAAAGACTTCCCGGTTTGTTTATTTACTGCAGATGGTCAACACAACCCGGCTTTACAGAAATTAGATTATGTTATTTAAGGATATCTTGCTGTGATAGTGTTATTAACTTTATTTGACCTTTTAAAGATGTTATAAATAAGAGTTTTGTATTACTGTTACTACTGTTTTGTATAACGTACATTGTAGCTGTGAGCAATGATAGAGTTGTGCACATTTATTTTATTTAAATGATACAGATTCCGTGAGTAAACTGTATTAATTACTTTTACAAAATAGGAAATCAAATGGGATTCTTTGAGAGATTGAAAATTGACATGGGACACTAACGTTTTATCTTGCATATTCCAAGACTCCCGCTGGAATTCTGCACATTTTATCCTTCTGTCCACTCACCATAGAGGAGCAAGGAGCAAGTCCAGACTGCAAACAGAATGACCAGGTGGGTTAAGGCACATGTCCATGAATAAGGGTGATTCTACTACATTCTTACATACAAATAGTGATATATTATATACCTCTCCACATTCAGTAACTTTGTCATTATACTGCTAATGTGGAACCAATTCTCTTGTTAAGGATGAGTGAAAGGGGGAACTATGGAAACCAGTTGTTGTTATGGGTTTTATTTTGCCGAATAAGTATAGTACACATGGGGAGCAAAGCCCTCAAGCATCTTGGGGTTTCCTTTTATACCTGATTGAGGTAACCTTTGTACAGACAGAGCACTAGACAATGCCTATGATTCATGCAGAGGCTGTTGCAGGTGTCTGGTGTGGTTTAACCAAAAGCTTCATGTTGTGTGATAAGCACAATGGACAAATATTATATAGAAGTGTTAAATGATTCTGGGAAATGCTAGACATGCTCTCTGCATAAAACGGTTAGAGAAAGGTTAGTGAGGGTAAGGGATATCAGTCATTTTCCATTACACTAACTTTACTGTTTTCTATTTTAAGCTCATCTGCTCCTAGAATGGTGAATAGTTACAAGAGGACTTCAAGCCCCCGCTCACCAACTAACAGTGGAGAGCTCTTCACACCAGCACATGAGGAAAATGTGCGCTTCATTCATGAAAGTCAGTGTCCCTAATGTTGATGTCATAAACAGAAAAAAGAAGTTCCTAATGTTACAAAAATACTTGTTGTTACAACTTTAAACACAAATGCCCAATGTTGATATGAAAAGCAAAATCAGTAATGCTTAAAACACTGAACCATTAAACAATGAGAACTACGGTAAATTGCTATTGCAGGCACCCAAGTTAGTGGACAAACGATGATGGTGTTTAAAACCTTCTTTCTGCCAGCATACAGTATACTGCTGTATATTGTGTCTTTGTTCATGTTGAAATTGTTTATTCTTCAGTAATGTTGACATTAAGTTTTCTCTTCAGCCTGGCAGTGTGTGCTTAGGGACATCAGAACATCACAAAATAATGAGCGTAATGACCGTGGACCACAGGAATATGTGGAAAAGAATCCAAATCCTAACCTACATTGTAAGTATCTCTGCCATCCTATTTAGAACTGCGTCCAGCAGGCACTGTGTTTTTACTATTTTTTTTTTCTGTCTTGCAGCTTTTACACCAGTGGACCTGAGTGACCTCAAGAAACGCAACACACAGGACACCAAGAAGTCTTAGTCTTTTTTTTAAATAGCATTGTCTTTTTTCACCCATTGTCCTTGAGAACTTTTCCTCCATCAGCATTCTGTCAGCCAGTAAGTCAGCCTTGTTGGCCAGTTAGGCACAGGATGCCAAACTTGTTACAAACTGTGGACCACAGCATCACATCTCCTTCTTTATCATATGCAGCTGACTATGAAGAAAACATTTGGGATTTGGGTTGATACAAGCTCTCTCATATCCTGGTATATGTTTTCTTTTACTTTTTTTATGTCACATTGTTGCCATATGTTATTGCTAATGCAGATGGGACTGAATTACACATTCATCACAACTTGCTGACCTCTGATGCTGAGGTACAAACTGCTGACACAGGACTCAAAAGACTGCAGTCTTAAACACCAAACATTTTATTTTCTAGATGTACTTACATGACTTTGGAAAAATGTGAAAGGGCTGACATCCTTTTTTTAGTTTTGCATAGTTTGATCAATACAAATTTAGAAGTAATGTTTAATGGTTGCATTGGTAACACACTTGTTCTGGAAGCCAAATGCACTGTAGACAGCCAACATTTTTATTAAATTTTTTCTTGCTCGCAAATGGACTTTACTAAGTAGACCCTTGTCCCCAAACTGCTTCCCTTGGCTCAATTCCCTTTTCCCCAATGTCAAGATAAAATGTTGAATAAAATAAGTTTTACAATTCCTGTGGCCATTTCTGTTCAACGGGAAAGCACAAAGAGCTCTCATCTTACTGTGATTTATTTTGTTTTCTGCCAAAGCATTTGCAACACAGTCAAAATATAGGAAAATATGTTTATATATTCGTATAGTGACACACTTGCTCTGGTTTCTAAAGTTTGCTTTGCCTTTGTAGAAATAGGTTATGTGGGAATTGTACATGGATTATGGCAAATTTAAAAGCCCCTCTAAAAATATTATTCCTCTATATATTTTACAAATTGTTAATAATTATGTCAGTGTAAATTGGTAAGTTATTAAGTATGGATGTTTACATGTATGGTGGCCTTTGGAAGCATATCATAAATTATGGCTGTTCAAGTAGTCTTATCTTTTTTCTGCCTTCGGACATTGGGTGAGGCAATAACGACTTATTGTATGTGGAAGCCACGTGCACAGTTTTATAATTTTCCAGCGTTTCGACCATGTGGCCTCAGGATTACACATATAACTGTGGAAATCAATCAAGCTCCAGCTTGTTTTGATATGTGGTTTCTCGTGACTTGTAGATTTATTTAAATTATGTTTTGTGTTGACTGACTTTTAGCTAAAAAAAAAAAACTAACTTAACATAAATCCTTTTTAAAAAGCACTAGCGTGTTAAATTTGGGAAAAAAACAACGCAATGAGAGACACTACCATGGCTAAACCCGGGTGATTGTTGTCCCTTTTTCTTGCGTAATGACGTCACATTTACGTACAGTTATGGTTGGAAGGTTACTATATATACCCCCGTCACTCGCGCATTGTATAATCTCGTCGGGGCAGAGAGTCTTTATCGTCTGAGAGTAGAAAGGAACAATCGCGTAGCGGTTTATTTTTTAAAATTCGTTTACAATTTAGTAATCCAGTGGCATCAAAATGGCTGATAAGCTGGATATGTCTCTTGACGACATTATTAAGCAGAATAGGCAGCAAAGAGGCGGAGGCCGCGGTGGAAGAGGTCGAGGCCGCGGAGGCTCTGGCGGCAGCGGCCGCGGTGGCGCCGGTCGAGGCGGTGGCAGTGGCGCAGGATTTGGAGCCCGAGGCGGAGGCCTAATGAGGAATCGACAGAACCTGAACCGCGCAAGAGGCAGACCGACACCTTACAGCAGGGTATGAGAAAGTTAAAGGAATGAGCAGAAAAAGGAAAAACCCTTCGGCAAACCTGAAAATGCCTGGGTTACCTCCTTCTATTCTCCAATAGGCTTGCCAGCTAATCTAGCTAGCTCGCTGGCCAAGTGATAGAAGTAACGGCCGAGTTCTCTTTGGAGTAGAGCTCTATAAGTTGGCGTGTTAGCATTGGTGGAATATGTGTTCATAATGTGCCCCTTCCCCACACCATTGTTTATCTTTTCTTCAACAAGATGTCCTTCGGAGAAAGCTAAAGTGTTAGCCATGTGGCTAACTCAAGTTGGATCGTGCAGGCCTTGGCAGCGCCATTTTGAATCCAGCATCTTAATTAATTCTAGTCGTTTAACTCGATCCCACCGTCATGGTGAAAATGATGATGGTGTGGTAAAGCAGTGTCATCAAGAAATTGTGACACCCAATGTATTTTTCTTCACGTTTTCGGAAAGTTTTTGGTCAGCTCACAGTGCGGCATCTGACGGCCTTTTGTTCGGGAGTGGCTGGCGGCCTTACCTACAAGACCAGATTTGGTGGCTTTCAACCAGTTTTTCCCATGACCCGTGGAAGGATCATCGGACTATAAATCCCTTCTAAAGGCAGTCCCATAAGGCCAATCTTCACTTCTTGATTAAATGAATGTTTAGACGAGTACCACAAAGCCACAATCAAAATGGCGTGGTCTCAAAATGGACGCTTAGATAATCCTATGCTATAGAAGTGTTTGGCCATCTATATGATTCCCCTGTTAAAAACCTCATTCCCAATGGACATTTCCCATCATCAGAGGCAACTTGCTTGAAAAAGAACTTTGGGCTAATCCAGGAAACGTGATTCTACGTTGGAGGCAGCTGCTTGAGATGGTCATTCCTGTGTACCCCAGGATCTGGAGAGCCTTTGGTGGAGGTGCAGATGACGAGTGCAGTGGGCAGTATTGGTACAAGTAGTACAGGGGTTTAAGAAGATTGGGTGGGTTAGGGTTTTCTGTACAGTTTTAATAACAATGTGTACAATGTTAATAGTAATTTTATAAGTGTTAGTGAACATGCCGTGTCCTTTGTAATTCTGTCTGAAGTGATTCACTTGCCTGTAGTGATGGGGTGGGCAGGGAACATTTGGGACCCTTTCGGGGGAGGGGGATCTGAGCGCCCTGGTGGAAGTGGAGCCCCTGCTTGCCCCAACACCCAGCCGTGTGGACTCTGTGATTGACAGAGGCAAGGGACCCTGAAGTCAGCAGGTGCGTTCTCTCTCATCTGTTGCAGCCTAAACAGCTTCCCGATAAGTGGCAGCACGACATGTTTGACAATGGTTTTGGCGGCTTCAACGGCACTGGTGGCGGTGGAGGAGGTGGTGTGGAAACCGGAGGCAAGCTCCTTGTCTCCAATCTCGACTTCGGGGTCTCGGATGCAGATATTCAGGTACACTGTGAAATTGTTTACTCCAAAAGGTACTGGCATTTCTCATGAGTGAAAAGAGAAAGTTGACTTGTCTCTCTCTTGCTTTTAGGAGCTTTTTGCAGAATTTGGAACACTGAAAAAGGCTGCAGTACATTACGACAGATCAGGAAGAAGCCTAGGAACTGCTGATGTCCACTTTGAAAGAAGAGCAGATGCCCTTAAGGCCATGAAACAGTACAACGGCATCCCCCTTGATGGTATGGCAAATGGGCTTTAAAATTAATACTAAGCATTTAACTTTAGTAAGCTTGTCACTGATTTTTGTGCTGTGGTCAATAGGACGGCCAATGAACATTCAGCTCGTCACATCACAGATTGATACACAGAGGCGACCTATGCAGGGGTAAGTGTCAGAACCAATATAGTATTAAAGTTTGTTCTGTGGACACACTTTTATTTATTTTTTAAACTTTTTTTTTATTTTTTACCTGCAGTCTGAACAGAGGTGGTGGTGGAGGCATGAACAGAAGTCGTGGGGGTGGCTTTGTGAACATGCAAAGAGGACGAGGTGGTCGTGGAACAGGTGGCGCAAGAGGGAGAGGTCGAGGTGGCCGTGGTGGTGGCAGTGGCAGCAAGCAGCAACTGTCGGCAGAAGAACTTGATGCTCAGTTAGATGCCTACAATGCCAGAGTATGTTCAGCTGTCTGTATGAAAGAGTAGGTTAATTTGTTCTTGCATTAAACTAATTACTTTTTTCTTTTTTTCCCCACCACAGATGGACACCAGCTAAATGAAAGCCCTGTTGTTGTTGCCCTTCCCCTCTGCACAGAAGGGTTGCTTATGATGTGCAGAATATTTTACAATTGTCTTGTGTGATGAAAATGGTTGTTCCAACTTTTAAATGCTCCATGTTTTTTACATTTTTTTTTTTCATCTAGAGAATGGCTGTAGGTTCATATGAATTGGGGTTTCCTTGTTCATCCCATTACTATGTAGTTACTGAAACTTGTAATAAAACCTGCAGTACATACAATTCTGTGTTGTCTTTAAAGCTATTGCTCTTTGGCCTTTGTTTGACAATGTATTTTATATTTTGCCTGCAGTCCTTCAACAATAAATTCAGAGGTCTGTGTGTACATGTGGAAAACGGCAATTAAATGTAGCCCGTAGTTCTTTGGCTGTGTATTCAAAGTTTTGCTAAAGTTCGAAGGTTACCATAAATAATGATACTAATAGTTCTTTTAAGAGACAAAGTCGCCAGATATTTGCTACTTGATCTTGGGCTCTTTGCTGCCACGTAACGTAAATTTGGGACCTTTATCACTGGCGTTTGTGCAATTACAACGCTAGATGTCGCACCTGTTTCGACTTGCACCATCTTTACGTTCAGTTCGCAGTATCTACCATATATGGTGTTGACGTTAATCTTCGCTCCACTCAGCGCGGTTAGAGGAGGATCGGGACTTTGTACCTGACTGCCCCACCCATAAATAACCATTTTATCTCAAAAATAGCTGCTGCTTTCAGCGTTTGTTGTTTTCATGAGGCACATGATAAAAACTAACCACAGGCTGAGACATTGATACTACTAAAATAATTTTAGTCAAGTTCAAATGCAGAGCGGCATACCCACGCGTGTCAAAAGAGTACATTTTCCCGGAAATATATCAGCGGGCAATAAGATTTGAATTTTTTTACCAAAACCAGCTTCCGGTTGGATTTTCAAAACAAAATAGGCGTAGGAGTAGTTTTTTTTATAAATTATTATTATTATTATTTTGAGCAAGAAGACATTCATAGGACTGTATCAGACCAATGCCCAAGAATACATTTTGTTCAAATCAATACAAATTCATGCAAAAAGGAATCGTAAAGAACAGTTGACTCTTCGGTTGTTATCTCGTCCTTCAAGATTCAAGCTTAGTCTGAAAGAGGTAAACAAAAGTATTGCACTGCGTTTGTTTCAACACAAAAGAAAAAAATTCGAAAAGGCCCTCTTGGACTTTTATTGTCATACTGTATGAACAACCGAGGGGATTGGATGTTTGTTTGTTACGCGTGTTTGTACTTTTAATGTGTAAGGGTTTTACAGGATGTGGTCTGTGTTAGCGGTCGTTCTGTTCCTCTCTTTTTCATCCACCCCCTAATTCACTTACATTCGCCACTACTCACAGCAGAGTGCTCCCGTTCCCAGCAGTATAACGGTAAGAGTTGATCAAATATGGGTTTAAGCCTTCCAATAAACTCCGTAAACATTGTATTGAGCGTTGTAGAAGTGGTAGGAGAAAGTTAGCCCTCTTTTAAACCACTTGTTGAAGGTTTTGGCGAACCTGCTACCGCTAGTGGCCAATTGAAAAAGTTCCATCAAACATATCGTTATTGTCTGTGGTGCCTCGTTTCAACTGTTATTTTAAAGTTTTTCAATGTGTTGCTAAAGTTGTCCAACATTTAGGACTAGTTAATAATTACTACTTCCTTATTTCCGGGATTCGAGTCTGGTCTGGGGTGACATAGTTGATCGTTAGGTAACCAAAACGTCAAACTCTTTTTCTTTTAAGTGATATACAGAAACCGGTGTATTCTGAAATAAAAACTGAAAATTGAGAAACAGTCTAATGTATAAACTGTTTGTGAGCAGACTCTCATGTGCCACTAGATGAACATTTTTCTGCCACTTCCTGAATCTCGTCATGTTAATTTGAATTGGCATGAATGGCTCACACTTAACAGCAGCCTCCATTTTGGTCTTTCGGACTTTATTGACTCTAGTGAGCTTAATTACACATTTTACCAATGTGTTTTTTTCGAAGATTAAACATGTATCCAGTGGGTAAACATTGTTTCGACTTGTTGCTACGAATGATGGACCAAACTTTCTTCTTTATCTTGTTTTTTTGCTGGAGCCATGTCTCATTAATTTTACCCTGGCTATATGTGCGGTTGTTTTGAGCAGCTAAATGCCCTTTTGATGAATGTTTTAGCTTCACTTAAGAATCATATTCAACAAATAACATTAACTTTCCTGGATTAAAACGTTGACATACTTCTCCTTTTTAAGTACTTAATGATAAAAAGCAGCAGCGTCCTCTGTTTTAGTGTGCGCTCAAGGGGCAGGAAATGGAATTTTTGCAAGAACTTCCGCACAAATCAGTAAAGTCTCTCTTGCATCGAATCGTCTTAGCGGCACATGGCTTTCCTCAGCAGAAAGGAGAGACTCTTTTAAGCACTTCTTGAGAGAAACTCCTATTATATGCTGGCTACAGATTTAATTTTAATTTTAAAGCCCCACTGACCGAAATATACTAAGGAAGCGTCTACTGTGTTAAATCTGTCTCTTCCACTGCTACCATTGACCTATAAAGCAGATTAGAACTGAGTTTGCTGATAAAATGCCTGAAGAGAAAGGAAAGAAGCCTTGACATTTCAGCCGACACCTAGACTTACTATTCACTGCAACTTCCTGCTCTTGTACAAAAGGATTTTTTTTTCACTTACTATTTTAAGGACTTCCTATTTTTACTGAGCTTCTGGGACACAAGTATGTTTTCTTATTGTTTCAACCACACCGTTATTTAAGTTGTTTTTTTTTATCATTGAGGTTACTTCTTTAAAGATGAAGACTCCTCTATAAACTGTCTTTGCTAAAATCTTGTGAACAAATCAGTAAAAAGTAGATGATCAGAATTGCCTTATAATATAGTCACACACTTTTTATTGCCTTGAATCCACTTGGCTCTGTAACATGGTACTCTGCATTAGACCAGCTTAGCTCTTTGTGCAACACTTCCTGTAAGTATTGACACATATCATGCTACATCTTCAAATAGTACGATCTCATACAATTTTTTTACAAAATGAATCCAAGCTTTGCTTTATCGTGGTATTTTGGTTTAAGTTACCTGCCCAGGTATGATGGTTTATGAGCCGATTCAGAAATAGGGTTTTAGCCCTAGAGCTGATGTCTCTGTTCTTGACAGGATGTGAAATGCAGTGTTGATCAGAAGAGGAAGTTTGCAGTCATTTCTTGAGAGAGAGACAAAACCTTATATGATGCATCTGCACAAAGCTCAGCTTGCAGTTTGGTCTATTCAACATTCCTTCCCGTTCTTACCGCCCTTCACAGAATGAACCGGTTTCAGATGAATTATCACTTTTAGTGCACACACTGACTACTGTTTTTCCACATATCTTTTAAAAAGCAACCAATCTACCAGGTCATCAGGTGCTAAACCATTAAATGGTTTTCATGCTGTTGGACTTGATCAATCTTTAATATAAAGGTCTGAGAGGACGCGAAAGGTCATGTCCACAGTGTGAACAAACCATTTTAAAGTGTCACAGGCACAGTGTTTCATTGATGCATCTTTAATGCAGTTGCTTGGTCTGTTTGGAAAACACACCTGTTAAAGGACAGCAACACAGTACTTCAAATACACTCTCCAACACACTCTATACAAAAGGATAATCTATGATTTTTGCAGTGTAGCTGTACAAGATACACCCTTTGCTAAGTGAGTGGCCCTGGGCTAGCATTGTGACGAAAAGAAAATATTAAAGGTACTGCATCTAGGGCAGGGGACACCAACTTTTTTTTTCAGATCAGATGAAGTTGGCTCACAGGCCACCAGTTGATGATTATATGATCCCATGAAAGTCATCCTTTAACATGAGACATTTGGTTTGTAGACTAAGGATTACAACAAGAATTGTTGTCATCCATTTCCAATGTTTGTGTCCCAGCAGGCACTTGGAGTGAACAATCACTATTGCTCTTTCCTGTTTTGCCTGTTGTCCGTAGTCTGCACTGTTCTGGCAGCAGTAATTCAGAAAGAATGTGATATCATCCTGAGGGTGGTGATCTCAATATTGTTAAAAACTGGTCTATTATAGAAAACATGAGGCCTTTTTATTTGGTGGATCAACATTTTTAAAGCTGCTTATAATGTGGATGTTTGCAGAAAAATGTCTTTGTTGATTCTGCTAAGATTGAGAAAATACATACTCAATAGGGAAGTCGCACTTTCCTACTTCCATTTATTGTTGTCTCCTTTAGCAACACAGTTGTGACATTCAATTATTTCTGAAATCTTTATTTCTCCATCAACTGTTTTAATCAGTGAAAGAGGCAGAGTAAGAAACAAATTGGTTTGATTTTTGAATGTAGTACACAAGTCAGGTATTCCAAAGACACTCAAACAAACAACACTTAAACACAAACGCAGTAAAATACTCATTCTTGCAGAATGTGTTTAAGTGCCTGTTTTTACGAGAGTGGTGAAAAGTTCTAAAATCTACTTTATGCACTCTGGTGTTATGAGTCTTCCAAAAAAAGGGAAGCTCTACTTCACAAGCAGAACTACCTCTAAAAACTGACTAGGTTTTATTAAAACAGACGAGCTCCATTCTGGAGAAAAACTCTGCTGTGTTTTCAATTCCTCTTTGGCCAATGTCCAGCTGTTTATGGAGGACACAATAGAGCAGTGAGGAGGGTCTGACACAGCAATGACAAACTTGTTTATTTTGATTTTGCTGTGGTACGTTTCCTCACACTGTAAATATTTTGAGGTATTTAGGTGAACCTGGTCACCTCTGCAGGACAGCTAAAGGTTAAAGACGGTTGCTTACAGTTGTCGTCAGTACCTTTTCTTGTGTTGTTGTTTTGTTTAGATTTCAAAAGTAATGGACTTCATTGAATTGGAAATAAAACTTTCTATTTAAGACGTATTTGGAGCTCAACGATAAAGTGTCATATTTGGGTTTTTAAACCAAAGAAATTTCTTGCACAGTAAAATAACCTGAGTTACAATTGGTTAAATGCCAATGCTAATCATTAGCATTAAGTGTGGATATTTTTGTCAATACAGATAAGGGCATTATCTGCAAAGTACTGCCACTGCTCGCCAGACATATACTGGACCAATCCTCTGTGTTTACATGTGAGTCCATCTGAGTCCAGCTGTTAAGTTCAAACACCATTAGACCGATTTGTATGTTTTCATTTCACCCACAACTGTTGGGGGTGGGGATAGGTGACCAGGACAGACCGCACACACCAGTGTTTCATGTCTACGTCCTCCAGCTGTTTGCGTGTAATGACCGGGCCAGTGAGCCAGACGCTAACGGATAACTCTGTTTTTTGTGGCTTAATATGAGCAACAATTGAGTTCCGGAGCGTACCCCCAGTGCCTCCGTGGTCTTGGAAGTCCTAGCTGATCTCCTGCCTAATGGGCCATTTCCTGCTTCCAATCAGAGCCCTTACTGCTAATGAGTGGTGACTGGTATGACAGTTCAGCTGGGTGAAGATGGCTGCAGTAGTACTGCTGTCCCCAGCTGTCAGTCCATAGTACTGAAGAGACAAGGGAACTCAGGAATTTAGATAATCTATAGGGTCTGGTGTTTGTAGGTGCAGCCAGAGTTAATGGCCTCACAGCAAACTAAACTCTCTGGGCTACGCCACCATGCTGTAGGGGTGTGTGTTGGCAAGAATCTGGCCATACAATGGGTATCCCAATACTTCACAAATTTGCACATTGGGTTTGACATTTACTAAGATATAAAGGCTGAGATTTTGTGTTTAATGTCAATTACATCACTTGTAAGTTGACTACAGGACCTAAAAAATGACGTTCATTTTATTCTATTCTATTTAATAAATAGTGGCTGCTCTCATTAGGAGATTAGTTATTTTGGATCTTCTTCCAAAACGTTATGTGAAGGCGTGTAAAAAGAAAAAAAAGTTAAATTCTTAAATGAAGTTGAATCTTCCAATTGTCTCATCAGATTTCTCGTTGACACTAATCTCTCGGTGGCTTTTTCTGTGGTCAGCACCATGGCAGAGCAGGAACCGACAAAGGAGCAGCTGGAGGAAATAGCAGCAGCCAACCAGGAAGCAGAGGCCGCTGTCGACTACAAACCTCCGGCCCAGAAGAGCTTGCAGGAGATCCAGGAGCTGGACAAAGACGATGAGAGTCTGCGTAAATACAAGGAGACGCTGCTGGGTAACCCCGCCGTGGTTGCAGGTCAGTGGCTGCTTTTCATAATAATGTAACACCAGTGTTTGTCTACATTGGTGAGTGTGTCTGCATCCTGCTATTGAATATTTATATAATGTTGGACAAAACCTAAAACAAAATATATAGAATATTATATGAAACAATTTCCCATGTGTTTTTATGAGTAATGGGGGGAGGGGGGGGATCATATTTACTTTTATTTTGGTCAATATATGGGGGGGGGGGAAATCATATTTACTTTTATTTTGGTCAATAAAGACCTCACGGTTGTCGCAGTGTATCTGAGTCTTGGTTGTTATTTCAAACACATAGACCTAAACATAAACAAAAGTATACTGTACACTGTCCAGGACAAAAATGCCATTGTAAAGTTCTTTAAGTGGTTTAAAGTTTAATTTTTTAAAATTCCCAACCCTCACTCTGACTCTCCTCCTCCTCAGACCCCACTGTTCCCAACATCGTAGTGACAGAAATGTCTCTGGAGTGTGAGGCAGCGCCACATCCTCTGGTCCTGGATCTAACAGGTAGGTCGAGGTTTCAGTGTTGGCAGTTGCAGTCACTGTGTTATTTAAAGTTGCCCTTCTCACAGTGACACGAGTAATAAGGAATAAACACTGAATGTTTGTGTGTGAATGTGGACAAACTGATCAGCATTGGTCACCAGACTGAGAGCTGATAGCTCCTAGTTTTGCAAGCTTACTTTTGTAGCACTCCTGCCCTCTGTTGGTGGTAATGCTGAACTACAGCAGAGTGGAGGAGCTGTGCTCTGGCCTTAAGTCAAGTCAACACTGACTCCTTCTTTCCTTTGCCCGTTGGCTTGTCCCTCTAGGAGACCTGGAGACCTTGAAGAAGACCACGTTTGTGCTAAAGGAAGGAGTGGAGTACAAAATTAAGATCAAGTTCAGGGTGAGGACACAGTGAAGTTGTAGCGACACTGACTCATTCCTGTCTTGAAAAGCAACCCTGAAAGTCACTTGTTGCCTTTTGCAGGTCAACAAGGAGATAGTGTCAGGACTGAAGTACATTCAGCAGTCATACAGGAAAGGCATCAGAGGTGAGTACTACAATGACTTAATGTTTTTGTCTGTAAATACAAGACACAGCAATGGAGTTGGAATTGTGGGCCATTTACCCTGGTCTCACATTAATCTAGAAAAGGCTTGGAAAAGGCTAAACATATATTGTTTCTGCCCTTTCTTTTTTTTTTAGAATGTTGTTTTTATTGCATTGCATTTTAGTGTTGCCTTTCTATATGAAAAACATTTGTACAAAATTAAGATGTGGATAATGAAAAATAAATGTTCTCTCTTACACATAGTGGACAAGACTGAGTACATGGTTGGCAGCTATGGGCCAAAGTCTGAGGAACATGAATATAAGACCACTATGGAGGAGGCGCCCAAAGGGGTGTTGACCCGTGGCACCTACAACATCAAGTCTAAGTTTACTGACGACGACAAACACGATCATCTGTCCTGGGAGTGGAACCTTGCTGTCAAGAAAGACTGGAAAGATTGATTTCCCTAATGCCAGCCTCCATCAGTGTCTTCCTCTGCTTTTTTTTTCTTTTCTGTCTCTCTTGCTATCATTCCATTTCTGGATCATCTGTTGCACTCACCGTCCAATAGCTCCAAATTAGATTTTTCAGCTTGAAATTCCAATTGGATCAGTATTCCTCCCAGTGTCTGTTAAATATTAAATCACAAAACGGTCCAGATTCTGCTGTAATAGTTTGTTTAGAAAAGCCAAAAGGACACTTTAAAAAAAAGTCTAAAACTAAAAAAGTGCTTATTTTTTCCCATCTTTTCCCTCCTTTTAAAGTCTAAAACTAAAAAAAAAAAGTGCTTATTTTTCCCATCTTTTCCCTCCTTTTATTTTTTTTTCTCTTTCTTCTTTTCACAACCATGGTCTGCCTTGAAATGAATTTTCCAGGAAGCAGTAGTGCTGTACATGCATGGCCACTCTGCAGTCACTGAGCAATCATGAAAGGACTCAACTCTTACAGCCTGAAGTCCAGAGAAAGATTATTTGAATATCAGGATGTTGAAAAAAATAATGTGGTATTTCGGCCTTGCCTGGTTTAGAAAACTCTGTAATGTCTGAGAAAGTGAGGCGATTAAAAGAAGCTAGCTGTAACCTCTGGCTTTAGGTGCATGTGTTTGTCTCATGTACAGTCACTTCACAGCCATAGTTGAACCTCTTCATCTTCAGAGTCTATTGACCAGGGCAGTTTGAGACTCTTTTCAAGCAACACTTGTTATAATCTATAGGCAGAAACAGGACTTTTTTCTAAGTCTTTTTTTTTAAGGTTTAGTGATTAGTAAATAAATGTCAACCATATTCTAGTCTATTTACAGAAATCATTTATACCTCACTATTTTCTGTATCAGTATTTGTAGTTCTTGGGACCTCTGTTGTAACCCTAAAAAAGACCGCAGGGTTCATATCGTCCAGTCTCGCCTTGTATTCCTCCAAATCTCCTTTACTGATGCTCGCTGTGCCTCCAACCACATGCTGCTCCAGCTGACTCTCTGCTCAGCATCACTGAGGTAAAATGTTTGGCTTTTTGTTTTATTATACACTCCATGAGTAAATGAATGTCGTCTGTATCTGCAGCCTCATTCCCAGGCATCAGTGATTGCTGTCATTCCAGGACTGGGTCAGACTCGGCATTTGTGCTACTTGTATTACCTGCAGTTTAGTGACATCCTGTGTTCACATTAAAGTGTTCACACCAGGCCTCCACGTGTCCTTGGGTTATGTTCTCCTTACTCTTTCTTTTTTCTTTCCTTGTCACTTAGCAGAGGGTGGTTAGCGCTCCTGCAACACAGCAACAAGTGAATATGTGACCATGAATATGTAATAAATGGGTAAGATAAAAAAAAAAAGAATTACAGATAAACTTCAACCTAGGTTGGGACCTAAGAATGTGTTGCCAAATGTATTTATCTGACTTTTTTTTTTTTAGCTTTCAAAGAATTTATTAGAATCACATGTAAACAATTTGTCCTTCCCACCTATTTTATTTTTGGCTTATTTATTTTCCACTGTTAGTAAACGGCGTCTCTATGACATACTTACAGAGTATTTCTCACACTGGGTTGTTCTTACAGACCTTTAGTTCTAATTATTTGTCATCTACAGCCATTCAGGGGGGAAAACATCCATCCATGTCAACACATCTTCAACTTTTGGCAGCTTAAATTAATTCAAACAAGCTTTGGATTCCTGGTCTGTTAATGGTGACCACAGAAGACAGTTTTAAAAAAAAAATGTGAAGGGAAATGGACAGTAATGGTGACCACAGAAGACAGTAGTTTAAAAAAAAAAATGTGAAGGGAAATGGACACGCGTCTTTTTCTGTTTTGTCCTCCAGCTCATTTGTGAGTTTTTCTGCTTTTGCTGGATTTTACGTCACTCTTGGTCTTCTGCAGACGGGAGAAGATCTCCTTGAAGAGCGCCTTGTACTCTGGTGTGTTCTGGCTCAGACGTTTGTCCACCTGCTCCACCTGCCTGCTGATCCCCTCCAGAGCCTCTGGGGTGGAGGGAGTTTGCGGGGGTGTGGGTGGCGAGGCAGCAGCAGCTCCTGATGATGTGGAAGGACCTGCAGTGACCATATTGTACTCCTTCATGGAGGGGTCTCTGGAGACGGGCCGGGAGGTCTGTACACCCGCGTGGCACAGGCTCTCCTCGTGACGCCGACATTTTCCCAGCAGCTCCTCGTACTTCTCCAACAGGGCGTGGTACTGCTCGTCCACCTCGCTCAGGATGGACATGCCTCGTTTTCGCACCCCGTTGGCGTGCATGGCGTAGCTGCCGTGGCGTCTGCCTGAAGCATCACGAGCCGTGATGGCGTTCAGAGCCGTGTCGCTGCAGCTTTTCCTCACGGGTCCTCCCTGCTGCCCCGGACCTCCTGCCTCTCCGGCAGCACCTCCCCCACCCTCTTCTTGCCCCGAGTACACCTCCGGGGTGTCTGTTTCAGGACCATTGTTGAGCAGCTTCTCTAGACCCTCCTCCATATCCACCAATAGGGACAGCCTGGACTTCCTCAGCTGCTGCATCTCCTGAAGCTCCGCCTCCAGCTCCTGGACGCGCAGCTGGCAGCCCTCCGCTCCAAGGAGACGTTGCTCCAGACGTTCAAACTCCTCCAGCACCGCCGTACACTCACGCTCGGCGCCCTCCCTCATGGATCGCTCTGTAGACATGGCCACATGCAGAGATGAGACAATGTTTCTCAGGCGATCATTTTCTTCGTCCAGTGGCCGCTTCTCAGCCAGGTCCACACTGCCTGGGTTGGCCAGGAGGAAACCGTCCTCGTACCTGACAGAACACAGAGTCACGTAGTGAAGCCAGAGCTTGGAAGTACAACTGAGCCAAAAACCTTCAATATACAAAAATATAACATGAAATAAAATATAGTAACTACTGTAGTTAACCTGTCAGAGGCCTCAGTATCAGTAGGGTTCGTCAGCTAGTTATAGAATGGGAATAACTAGGCTAACCGTGGAGCAGGACTACTTTGTGTGAGCTCTCTGTGTACTTTAGTTAGAGTAAAGCTGTTTGGCTGAGAGAAGAATGTCCCCTCTGTCTGATTGGACGATCAAACAGTCACATGACCGTACCTGGACTGACGGACAGGCCGTGGATGTAGATTTGTTTGCTGTTTGTTTCCACACAGTGATGTTTGCTCATGAGCTACTTTTATCCGTAAATGTCACAGATTTGTGCAGAACACTAACAGCAGACCGTCTTCCTGATGTTTCCACGGCATCCCTACTGACTATGATGACGGTCAGAGTCTGATCCTGATTCTCTACAGCTGTACACGTCCCTGCAAATGGAACTTCTGCAGAACCAACCCAAACCTGGGGGTCATCAGAAAAGCCAAAAAACTGATGCTGTGTTTATGTGTTTGTTGTGTTTCTTTTCTTGTGTGTGTGTGTGTGTGTGTGTGTGTCTCGGTGCTGACAGTCACCTGGGTGCGGTGCAGAGCTCTTTAAGACAAGGAAAAGAGTGAACCGTCTTCCTTCGTTCCTTCTTTTCTCTGAGGACCCTCAGCTCCTCCAGGGTCCTCAGCTCCTCCACCCGACAGGTCAGACTGTCCACCTGACCGTGCAGCGTCTCCATGGTGCCCGTTAACCTATTTTTGCAAACACACACACACATAGATGTTTGTTTACTGGACTTAACTGGGCTGAACATACCGAGCAGCTAAAGCAACAACGAGTCGTTGTTGGAGAAGAATGAGCCACTTCAGCACTGGAGTATAATCCTCAGAGTTAAGTTATGAAACTTGGAAACAAATGTTACAGCTCTGTTTGTTTCAGGCTGCAGCTCACCTGTCGATTTTCTGCTGCGAGGCCTTGCTCTCCAGCACCAGTTTCTCGTTGGTGATCTCCAGCTCTCGGGCGGTCACGTCCAACTGCTCGTACACTTTGGCGTGCTGCTCGTTCATCTCCCTCAGCATCTCCAACTGTTTGGAGAGGTACTAAAAAAGGAAAAGAAAATCTGTGTTAAAACAGGGAATGGAAGGAGAATCCTGCCAGTCGGAGCTAAACTTTGTCAATTTAAAGATGATGTTGGTTGGACCTTGAGTTTGCTGCAAGGTAGTTGCTGTTTAATATATTAAAATGAGTTAGACCAGCGGTCCCCCACCTGGTCGGCCGATACCAGCCATTACTGCGGACCAGTAGCACCGTGCAGATTGTTGGAGGATCGTTAAACTTTCAAAATAAAACGTCTTTTAGACTTTATTCTCTTAAAATCTATGACTGGATTCTTTTCAAATCAAGTAAATTAGTAAAAATGAAGTACATTTTTTCACTGTGTCACACTGCGGCCCGTGGACCTGGGGTTGGGGACCCCTAAGATAATCAACAAAAATACTCCAAAATAGTTTAAGCTTTTAAGTTTAAGCGCCTGCTGTTCAGGAGGATGTAGCCTGGTCATATGATCCATGATCAAACGGTGGACAATCCTGCTGCACCAGTACGAAAGTCAACTGTTTGATTCCATTTCAGTTTGCGATTTATGTTCAGAATTGACTTTAGATCAGACAAAGTATAAAAAAGTTACAAACTGATGAGCACATTTTTTAGGATCTTGTGAATGAAATGTAACCATAGTTACACTTTTTTGTCAACTGAACGTTACTATTCCTACTCATGTTGAGTTCAGACTCTGGAGGATTTCTTCATTTGCTTTTTTGTGTGTGACCTGAACCATGTCTGCACCTGTGCACACCTCCACTCAGCCAGGTGAGTAACTAAAACATTCCGTTCACTCTCACGTGATAAACCTTTTATGGTAATTTTCTCCAAAAAATTCCCAACAGGCTTGTGCGGGCAGGTTACGACTGGTGTGGAATGTACAGAAGAAGAATCTGATTGGACTGCCCCGACGTGATCACATGACCCAAAGGTAAGACGAGACAAACCTCTATCTCCTGCACTTGATCCTCATTGTTAATGTACATCTGCTGAAGGGAGTCCTCCAGCTCCTTGTTCCGTTCCAGGAGGGTTTTACCCAGCTCTGCGGCCAAGTGCAGGTCTGAGAGAACAAGAGATGAAAAGAAAATTCAGATTCACGTGGAATGTTCTTAGTGAGGAAAAAGAGAAAAGATTAGACAGAGCTGAATCAGTTTAATTGACTATTTAATATTAATATTAAAAACTAAGAGATCAGATCAGCGTGAACTCAGCCATCCTCCACTCACTGACATTTTACAGCTCAGCCAAAGACATGCATTATTCAGTTGAAATGTGGAGGAAGAGCAGGAGGAGGAGAATCCTGTTGGCTCCACACAGCAGGACAGCACAGCCGTGGAGGATGAGGAGTCACTGACGTCCTTTTACTGGACATGAATGAAGTGTTTCATTACCAGAGTGTTTAGGCGCGAACAGTGACAGGAACACACACACACACACTCATCAATCATTGTACTGTAGGTGTGACAGACACTGACCAGAGTGTTTGAACGGAGCATGGTGTTACCCATGTTCTGACAAAAACAAAACAAGAACTAGATTTACAGTGAATATATATATATATATACACACACACATTATGTGTGTGTATATATATGTGTGTGCATGTAAACAGCCAAACAGCTCAAATTTAGCCAAAACTGCATTGGTAATAAGACATAAATGTTTTTAATTAAAGAAAAAAAAATGGCTAAAATCATATGTTGATCAGTAAATCGGGCAAAAATCAGCCTAAAGCTTAAAGTTCAAATATATAACAAAAATAATAACAAAAAGTGCAAAAATATTTTCTAGAATAACTACCATTCAACTAAAATAAAGGTTAAATCAGATAAAGACAAAACAACAACAAATGAAGCTACAAATTTGCTACAAAAACAACTAAAACTATGGGTAAAAGTTAGCCACAAAAAAAAATCATGATCATCGATTAAGTTTAAAAAATGCTGAAAAATGTTGTTTCTTCATATGAGGGATATTAGGGTGGACCAGTAGGACGGAGGTGAAGGATGGTAAATTGGCCGTCTTCAGCCAATCAGCTCCTCTGTGATGTGTGGCTGTAACGACTGTTGTCAAAAACACGGACATGCTGTAATTTCCCTTTTCAACAATGCAGAACTGATGAGAGAGCGTCGGCCTGAAGTGCAGAGAGTGATAATGAGCTGAGTGAGAGCGTGTGAGGATAGACAGACCACAGCACAGCCTTCACCCGTCCTCCCCTCCTCCCCTCACTCCCCCAACACACACACACTCCGACTCCAACTCTGTGGCTACACTGTTTCTGTTCCTGAGGACTGGCACGTGCCGGGGCTCAGTTATGTAAGACTCCGTGGAGGCTGCGTTCAGAGGAGCACCATTCAGCAGACACCTGATCCCAGAGAAGAAGACAGAGCGGATGTGTGCAGATCTGTTGGCTCCAGATCGTCTTTCAGCTGCTCTCATCAAAATGAATCATACCGCAATTAGTCACGATTAATCGTGATCAATCAATGTTCCTAAATATGTAAAACAAGTCTTTATATTGCTGGAACAGGAAGACAAATAACAGCAGGTGGAGATGTATGTGTTTCACATCTGCTTTTGTTTGTAACCAATTCAAAAACTGTCCAATCAGATACAGAGACGGAGCCAAGGCTTTTTATCTGCAGCTTTCCTTTCATGTGGAAATTACAGGGCCCTAAATTAAAGTTCAAACTCAAGAATCCCACAGAGTTTATCAGATTATAATGAGAACAGGAGGAACTACTGCCGCGGAACGCCAACATTTCTGGGTCAAATTAACGCCCGAGCGTCAGGCTTTAACCATCTGACCCCAAATCCTGACATCTTTGATCCGCTTTGAGGAGGTCTCGTCTGGGTCTTCTGGCCAAATCAGATCAAGCAGGGGCTTAATGACTCGATGTTCAACAATGCTGAGATGACATACAGAATTAATGGATGCCCCCCGTACCCTCCGCCCACCCCCGGACACCCACAGCAGTATTATCCACCTGCCTGTCTCCTCTGTGTCTGTGATGAGATGCAAAGCTGCTTTAGTTCTGTGGGTCAGCAGGTAATCAGAGACAGACTGCTGCTGTGCAGAGATGCACAGCTGCTCAAAGTGCATTCACTCAAGTCATTAGTGAGAAGGTTCAGCCACTGTGAGTTTCTGGAAGAAAGGAATGGAAGAAAGCCTCAGCCACTGTGAGTTAGATTTCTGGAAGAAAGGAATGGAAGAAAGCCCAGGCAAATTGAAGATGGTAGTGAGCTATGGTATGATGTCCAGCACGGAGACATCGCTTCTTTCACTGCGACGGAGGCTGGGCCGGACGAGGCAAGAGCTCAAGATGCTGAAGATTTGACAAGAACAGACAGGATTTGAAGGCAGCAGATCAGAGGAACGTGTTTGTTGACAAAGTTGGATGATTTTTTACATATTTTGAGAGACAGTTGAAGATGGAGCTGCCAGATAGAAGAAAAATAGAAATACAAGAGAGGAAATTCATGGCCCAGCAGAGTTAAGGGTCGACTGGTGTTACTGACATATGCTATGATGTTCCAGAGACAACAAGGCTCCATAAGGATGAATCATGAAGGAGTGTTACTGTGGTCGGTGTAGCAGTGGAGGAGGCACACGACAACATGAAGCCCCTGAATGAAACCCACACAAGGAAAAACAACAAAATAGATTTTGAATTAGTTGTTTGTTTTGAATTGACTTTGATTTTGAATTAGTTGTTTGTTTTGAATTAAGCTGGAGAGACAGCAAAGACAGACATGTGACATGGACAGAAAGGACAATGACTAGTCAGTCCGCTAGATTCTAGAAAACAAACCAAATGAAGTATCAGCAGAGGAGGACACGACGATGAAGGACAAGCACCTCCAGATCGGTGGTCTGACGCTGATTAGATCAGACAGAAATGGACGTAGTTATCACTACGCACTTTTTTTTAAAAATTATTTGTTTGTTTAATCATTGAATCTTTTTTTCTCCTACATTTCCTGCAGGTGTCTCTATTTACCCTAACTAAAGCCGATAAACAGATACTGGATGTGGGCTCTGTGAGATGATCCAGCAGAAAAGAATCCTCGGTCCTCACCTTGCTCCAGGTCCCGCTGGTCGTACCACGGCTCCTCGTCCTCCGTGATGAAGTCCTCCATCCTGCCTGCTCGGAGCATCGATGCGGAGCAACTTCTTCACCTTCTTCGTCTCCTTCTTCTTCTTCTTCTTCACCGGGTATGTGGTCTGCTAATTCACGGTCAGCTCTTGCCGGAAGTGACAACAAACGAGAGCCGCACTGCCTCCCGGTGTAACCCTTTGAGGAGAATGAGTTATACAGTAGAAAATGCACCTGCTTTTATTTCCCCTCCTTTTTCTGCTGCTGCTTCTCGAAGCATCTGCAGAAGGAAAAGAGGAAAAGACGAATCGAAGACGAAGCGGTCGGTGCTGCAGCTCCGTAACCAGTTATGGAGCAGCAGTAACAGCACAGGCTGTGACAAAAGACCAGGCTGCTCATCAGTGTCGAGGGCGATTATCATCAGCAACACCGCTGCTGCTGCTGCTGCGTTCAGGTGCAGTCGGGAAATCCATGTTGCTCCGTGTTTATCCCGTTTTGTTAGATAGCATACATCATTATCGTCTAAACGTTTTATCGTTGTACGTATTAGTAATGAAAACATGTGGGCGTTAATGTTATACGTTACGCTAGCTCTTCGCTACGGATAAGTCAAATAAAATATTCTGTAGAACACGAGAAGAAAAAAACACGTTTTGCTTCGATGGACTTTTGGACACACATTTAACACCTAAAACCCCACCTTAAAAACAGTAATAATTTACCTTAAAGCCAACTAAAAGTTGACATACAAAAAAAGCTAAAATATAAGTCAATAACAGCGCAATGTCTCCTAATATGTTGAAAAACGCTGAAATCTTTTAGAAGATCGTGTAAATGGCTCAAATGTGCCAACAACAATAATTATGATATAAAAATATAAATGTTGTCAGAACTTTACCACTTCATTTCTGTCTATTCTTTCTGTTCCACAGGATTTGCTCTTGCCGTGACCCCTTTTTTTAACGAGATGGATGAGCATCAGCTGTGAGGAGCTACACTCAGCAGCACCTGAAGGTAGCACAGGGTGAGGTGACGTCACCGACTCCCAACCGGCACCGACGTCTCCTTCCTGCATTGACATCCCGGTAAATCTTATTGCACAGTCATTTGAAGGGACAGACAGTCGGTAGTTGAAGAAACACGAGGGAAATCTCACACACGCCAGTTTGGACCGCCTTTTATTCAGCACTGACTTTATTGTAAACGTAGAGAAATAAAGTGTAAACAGATGATGGCTGAGCAGACTCTACACAGTCCAGTCTTTGGCCGTCACCGCCTCAAGTACTCTTTTGGTTTCCCATTTCTTTGCAGACCGACTGTGGTCTCTTACAGTATAACTAATATGTCCATCAGTAGGATAAATGTCATAAACAAAAATTAGAGAGTCTAAAAAATAAAAGCACAAAAACAAAATCAAGTCCTACATTATCTGTCACTTATGAAGCAACAGGGGGAATTGATACAATAAGTAGCAGCAGCACAAAAAAAACCCCAAACAAACATAAAAAAACATCCAACATCGCCAGTTGATTTGTTTGATCATTTCTTCAAAAAGGTCTCAATAAATAAGTGAAATATTTTAACTTGAGACATTTGTGGTCCTCCGAAAATAAAATAATCATTAATAATTTCACAACGCTATATGTAAATGAACACAGAGGAAATTCCCTTTATCTGTGGATGTCAATCCCTGATTTTTGCCAGTAGGAGATCAATAAGTAATGTTTTTTTTTTGTGTGTACACAGTGCAAATGTTTCTCTTTAAGGCTGTAACTGTCTGTGTTTTATTGCTGTTTTTATTGACTTAAACCACTGTAGCAGCAAACAGCAACTCAACCATGCAGCTGGTTAAATCCCTGTCCATAGAAAAAAACAAAACAAAAACAAAACTACACTCTCCTTTCCCATCATTCTTTGCTCTCAGTAGCTTTAGAACCATGAGGACGTTTAAGGTGCTTCCAGTCCGTTTCGCTCTCACAGCGTTGAACTCTGCTGAAGAACTTCTTGATCAGAGCTTTGGCTTCGGCTTTAACTGCAGACACAAGAGTTTTTAAAATAATTAAAAAAATAAAACTACCCCATTTTGACAGACTTTTATTTTTTTTTAAGATGAACTTCACTCGTACCTTGAACTTTTCCTTGAGACCTTCCTTCTGCGAGAAGGTGAGACAAGTATCGAGCGAAGGACTTGAACAGTTCCTGCAACCGAAGGAAACCAGAACCGTGGAGTCATTTTTGTTTCGCTGTTTTTCTGACAATGAACCTCTCCTCTCTCACCTTTGTGGCAAACTTTCCCTGAGTGTAAAAAGGATCCAGGTAGTGGACCACAATGTCTGCTGCTTCCTTCAGTGTCACAGACTTTGGTGGCTCCTTGGCAGATTGCAGCGCCCTCTGCTGCACCTTGGGGTTGAAGGTCACACGCTTGGAGCTGCTGTCTGCGGCACGACTGCGCTTCAGTGGAGGAGACGACTCACCGTTGGTTTTCATGTCATGTGTCACCTGAAATAATACAGACTTCATCATCATGGGGAACAGAGCAGGGAATTAACCTTGAGGATGTCGACACATTTGTTCGTTTCTTTTGAACAATGGAGGCTGGTGATCAACCCACCGCTCCAGGCAGAACAGTTTCAGCTTTGTCTTCTGGTTGGTTTTGGCTGTGAGAAATAGAAGGCATTTATTAAAGAGGGATGTCACAGAAACAGCTGAATTAAAATAAAAATGAAAATATGATGATCAGGTCCAGACCTCCCATCCTCAGAAGGTTCATCGTTTTCTGGCTTTAGGTCCAAAGTGGTGGTTTCGTGGGTTTGCTCCTCTTCATTTTTATCATCACCATCATCTATTGTTACAACTTCACATTTTCTTTCCACAAGAATCACATCCTGAGTCTCTGCCCCTTCAGTGTCCAAACACTGATTCGTCTCTGCTGATTGGCTCACACTGGCAGTTTCCGCTGACGCAGTACTTGTGCTCTCCTGCTCCTGTGGCTCCGTTTGGATTGTTTCTACTGTCTCTTTCTTCGCAAAGTACTGAGAAATGTTGCGGGTGTTCTTTGCCGCCTCTGCCAACATCTGCTGCTTCTTACTCTTGGCTTTGCCTCCTTTTGTTGGACTGTTCATGGAGACGGCGGCTGCGTTTGCTCTGTCTCTGATGGTCGAAGTCACGGCTGCAGATTTGTCTGCGCTCAACACCTTGGAACCTTCTGAGCCGTCGGCGTAAAACCCGCCGCCCTCTGACTCTTTGTTAGAAGCTGAGGCCTTCAGCAGTTCCTTGGCAGTTAGGAAGGGGTCGGAGGAGCCTCTCTGACCCGCCCCTATCCTTTTACGCTTCATCTGAAAGGATAATAGAAAAAGTCAATAACTGATCTGTAATAAACCATCACAAGACTCTACAAGGTGACAGAATAAGGTCTCACTGAGTAGACTTCCGAGGCAGGTTTGAATCCCTGCAGCTCCTCAGAACAGGACACAGAAGACGAGGCGGACGCCTCTTCTTTCACTTTTGACTGAACTTCTCCTGATTTTATGCTGTTCATTTGACCATTTGCTCCACTTGTTCCCGCAGCGGAAGAACTCGTCGGTTCTTTTTTCATGTCTCCCACCTTCTTCAGTACAGCCGCCTTGTACAAGTTGGCCGACTTGCTGTTCTTAAAGACCTCAAACTCGATGTCCACCGCCAACATCTGGGTGTCAGAGCTGAGATGTCAGAGAGGAAGGTGAGGGGTCAGTTACGTTCTGTGAAGTGTGCATGAGAATTATTAATCAATGTAAGAATGAAGGAAATTACTTGAATGCGTCTTCTGCCCCCTGGTGGCCGTGCAATGCCTCCTCCAATAAGTGCAAGCAGTGTTCTCTGGCCTGCAAGAAAAGGACTTGGTTGAAAAAAAAGGAAAAAAGTAATCATGCAATGATTGCTGAAAAAAGAAAAAATACGTTTTTTGTTTTTTTTTTGAGGAAATTAATGTAATTTATAAGCAGAAGCGATTAAGCCTGCAATTATTTGTTGCTAAAAAACTCACTGTGGTTGATGGTTTGTTTTCACATTATTACATTGTATCTGGGGTTAATTTTAATTTAATTATTTTTCTTTTTTTGCTACTCTACTTGTTGATACTCCTCTTTACATACAGTAGTGTTTGGTCCAAACACTGGCTCCCTTCACATGGCGTGACACATGAGTCAGAGTCAGTTAAACTCCTGACAGTGAACATCATGGTTATGTGGAATGTGTTTGCAGCGTTCCACGCTTGTTCTGTACCTTCACTGTGAGTTTGGGAATCTTCTGGCTGTCAGCGTCTCTGAGTGGACAGTAAGGATCTGAAGGACAACAAAACAATTATCATTACCAAACAATTATTATTTTCTTCTCCTAATCATCCAATAGAAGCAGGAGTTCATTCCTGTTCCCTTCATTGTTTTATTACCTGGGGGGACGAACTCCTCCCTCCAACCATCAGCTCCCTAAAAACAAAAAAACATGTAGAAAGATGTAAGATGAAGGAAACAAATAGTGATTTTTTTTTTGTTTGCCAGTAGCTCTGGCTTTTGAAGGAAACAAATAGTGATTTTTTTGTTTGCCAGTAGCTCTGGCTTTATTCCATAAGTATCTGTTCAAATCATCCAAATCCTGAATAACTCAGAAATCATCAATTACAAACTCGCCTCAAAAAAGGCATTGAAGAAACAGCCGAGAATTAATAATCAGTAATTGTTACTAATCACCTTCCGCAGTTTCATCTGCTTCTTAAACAGATCCGAAAATTCCTTTTTCCTCTTACCGGTATCTTCTTCACCACTGCCAGTTTCACCTTCATCATACCTGCAGGGCGTGACGTCACAGTCAAAGTCGTCAGGATTTACTTTTCATTTACACAAGTATAAATCTGCTTTGTCCTCAGTTATTGTGTCATTGGATTTGTCTTGCCTTTCGAAGCCGTATCCTGTCTTTCCACCGCCGTACAGATCCGCCTGGAAACCGAACGGTCCTTTGGGCTTGTTGCTCTGAGCTGCTACGGTCCTGGTGCTGAGGACCGCCGCTTTCTCCAGCTGGGCCCGGACAACTTTGGGGTTGCGGCAGAAGTCGCAGGCTCCCGCACAGTTTGGACTCTTGTCCCCGAAGAACTGGGAGATGATGGCGTGACGGCATCTGATGGACGAAAGGACAGATGGTAAATATGAAAAAAAAAAACACTCCACAGGGTGGTGTGTTTACGGGTGTCAATGGGACTTTGTTATTGTTTGTCACACTGTAACGGACTGGAGAATTGTCAATAACAGAGTAGTGACCACGATCAATATGTCTGTTATGGAATCAGCCAAATACAGCAATCACGTCACATGACTTTAACACGGCTGTGACTCAATCAGACCTCGTTTCCTTAAATTTGTAAGGTACAGTGGAACTTCGGTTCACGAACAAAACTTTTAACCAGGTTGTCGTACCATAACTTGGTTGCCTGTTAACTGTTGTCTGATTTTGCCGGTATTGCGCTGTGCTATTTATTTTTTTATTACATAAATCACTTTGGAAACTAAAATGCTAGTGAAATAAATAGAAATAGTGAAAACAACAATAGAAGTAAAGAAAGATTATACGAAAGCATGAGAATGGCGCTTCAGAGTCAAACACAACAGCTGAGGAGAACGACAGAAGGACAAGGAGCCTGAGACATGCCCACAGTGATGAAGAGGAGGAGGGGAAGGAGGAGGTAGGAGGGAGGGAAGGTACCAGAATTGGTTTTGTTTGTTTGAGTGACTGTGGTGATGGGTTAAGAGCAGAGGTCACATTTGGTTGTGTGTTGTAGTGGTGTGTTGTATCACAATGAGACGTAATTCACTCTCACTGAACGTCAGGCGGCCTGTGAGCTCTGGGTGACTGCTCTGGGTGACGGCTCTGGGTGACTGCTCTGGGTGACTGCTCTGGGTGACTGCTCTGTAACTTCTATCCGGTTGCTCTTCCTCACTAGCTGAACTGCTGACTCATCTTGTACGATCTCTACCAGTCGGTTTGGAGCTCAGCAGAGTGTGAGAAAAGTACAGAAGACAAAGCTGCAGGTAAGCAACTCTTTTCACTGTCTGATTGTTTGTATTCATTCAGGTGTTATTTAGAGAAAAGAACAGCAACAGGTTGGGAAGAATGTGAAGTAAAAAAAACTCCTTATACTGACTTTAAAAGAAGGTGGCGGGATAACTTAATATAGTTAGGGGAAAAAAATTTCGACAAAATTCCAGATGAGTCTAATTTCTGTATAAGAATTTAGAAAGTTAGCATTTATTTTTTATTTACATATTTTAAACCGGCCATACACATGCTCTACTAGTAGTTGAACCAACAAAAGCAGCTGAGTTAATGTTGAATGTCACACCGCTAAAGCATGTAAACCAATTTTTTAAGGGTTCAAATTTTAAATTTCACTTTAGCAATCCAGTTGCTACCTTTTAACACTAGTGATGAAACTATTGTTGAAAAAATAAAGAAAAAATGTCCATGAAAAATACAAATATATTTATGTTAGGCAGAAGTGTAATGTGAACCAGTAAACAGCCACAGCTCCCAGCTGTCACACCCATGTCCTGTTGTTTTGTTATTTCAGAGCAGAGAACAGTAAATCAAGTGTCATCTGACTCCTACACCAGCAATTAGAAAAAACAATGCTCTTAAAAAAAAGAACAAAAATAAAAGAGAAATACATTTATAGCAATCAGAAAAAACAATGCTCTTAAAAGAGAAATACATTTTTAACTTTTTTTCTGCAAATCCTGACTGAGCTTTAACTTTGAAAAACACTCAAACGCCTGCCTTTGTCTGTTGTAGACAGACTGTCAGACACCTGCAGGTCCAGAAACACCACATACTCCACACATGTTCACTCCCAGACGTTAAAGCTGCCTCAGTAATAATCCTTGCAATTTCTCACAGCAACGCCAAACCACAGACTCACGTCTTTGCAGAGACACGATTCACAGCCCAAAAAAAACAAAACAAAATCAGCCCAGTTCGGTCGGCGTGTCCGCAGCACGGACCAGGAGTTACATCCTGGATGAATCGGGAACCTGTGTAAACCAAACTGCAGCTCAACCTTTGCAGAGTAAACACCAAAATCCACCTCCCTGCTGCTCTGTCATCAGGATGGATCCTAAAAACGCCACGCTGACCCTCCTAAACAGGATATGGGTGAAGCTGCAGGGTCTGCCCACTGCCAATGAAATCGAGGTGGCGGGTTTCTTCATCCTGCTCATCTTCATCTGTGAGTATCACAATCTCTACAGCTGCTGATTTTCTCTTCATGCTCAGTCTCTTTCACTGGTTAAAGTTTGTCCCATTTCTCTCCCACAGCGTTGGTTCTGATCATGACCTTAGTGACCTGCCTGACCTTCTGCTGCACCTGCTGTCGGGGGAAGAAGGGATCTATCTGAGCGGCATGTGTGCTAGATTTTTTGGGATCGTTTGCCTTCCTTACTGGGCCTCTACACAGAGACACCCACATTACAGGTCTGTGTCTGAGGAGCCGTGGACAGGGTGTGTGGAGCACAGCCTGTCAATAACAAAGCAACTGAGTGCCAAGGGTGGAGAAGTGGTTCCACCTGATCCTGCTCTGTGGTTCAAAGTACTTCAGTACTTTGAATAAGGTACTATAGTCTGGCTTTGCCTCAGTGTCTCCTTGGATTTGGATTAAATGATAAAAGTTAACGTTTTATTGATTTGTACTACACTTCTCTCCTATGCACATGGTGCAGATTATCACGTGATGCCACTCAAGCAATCACATGAATGACTGCATGCTAACTCTGGATGACTAATTTTATTTTATTCTGGGTTTTTTTTAAAAAACTGATTTTAATATAACTGCTTGTAATATGGGGTTGTTTTTATTATGTTCCACCGACTTAAGAAAGTTAATTTCATGTCAAATCATCTTCTGTTTAAAAAAATAAATTTTTCCAGAGAAGGAATTTTGTTTACACGACTGTTTCCACTAACAATGACAGACAGGACGACGCCTGCCCTCTGCTGTACAAAAAGTGTAATAGCATGTTTATGAAAAACGGAGTTCACGTACATAATGTATAAAGCTGAGGGGAAAATGTGACTTTTTAAGTTAACATCGCTACTTTGATAATAAATCAATAAAAGAAAACATTTTCCCACTCACTTTTCTTGCTCACAGAACAACACCATGGCTTCAAAGTCTGTGATGGCCGCTTTGTCCGTCTCTTTTGCAGATCCACGCTTCTCCTGTAGAACAGTGAACAGAAATGTTCACAGAAAAACTCAACATGCATTCTTGTCCATATAATTTATTTCCTCTGCCTCCGTGCTGACTGACCTGTCTGCGGCGGATCTCCTGACGGATGAGGAAGTTTATTTGCTCCTTGTCTTTGCGGGAGTAGTACGTGCGACAGGCGGAGGGCAGTCCGTCTCTCCCTGCACGTCCAGACTCCTGGTAGTAACTGGCCAATGACTTAGCCAGGTTCCAGTGAGCTACAAATCTGCAGAATAGTGTAAAAGCATTGGAAAAAAACACGCTGACCACAAACCTAAACACAACATGTACTGTAACGCTGCCCCACCTGACGTTGGCTTTGTCTACGCCCATGCCAAAACTGATAGTGGCAACAATCACCAACACCTTCCCCTGCATCCACTCGTTCTGAACCTCACTGCGATCTCCTGCTTTCAAACCTATACAAGAACAAGTTCATCCCTGAAATCTGATGTTTTGTAATTGTGTAAAAACCACTAAGGAAAAAAGACTCTTACCTGCGTGATAAGCTTTGGCCAGAACACCAAGCTTGGTCAGCTGGTGAGCCACAGTCTCACAGCCTTCCCTGGTTCGACAGTAAACAATTCCACATCCCTGTTGAAATAAACATTCAAGTGAGTGGAAAGGTAAAAAGAAAAATTGTATTGCAAGTGCAAGCTTCTATACCTCTACATGCTCAGCTTGCTTGCTAACAGCACATTAACCTAGTGTCGCTGTCGTTCTTTACCTGTCCGTGTTTTCCACTGTCCATTGCCAGTGCCTTCTTAACAAAGGCGTGTAAGTGCACATAGGGGTTCGGCAGCAGTTCTACAAAGATCACATCGTACTCCAAATTACTGCGGAAAACTGGCGTGACAAAAGAAAGGGGCAAACGCAGCTGCAATGACTTCATAATGTCCTCCTGTACATTCTTGGGTGCTGTCGCTGTCAGAGCCAGACAAGGAACTCCAGGCAAGCGGGCGCGCAGGAGACCCAGTTTGAGGTAGTCTGGTCTGAAATCGTGGCCCCACTGAGAGACGCAGTGAGCCTCGTCCACAGCCAGATAGGACAGCAGTCCACGATTGCACAGACCTGTGAGGCATGGCTGGAAAGAGGGAGATGCTACCATTTCTGGCGTGATATAGAGGAGCTTCAGCCGTGGGCTGCTGCTCTCCAAGTCGGTCAGGATGAGACGACGCTCCCCTGCCGGGAGCTTGGAGTTGATGGAACATGCAGCAATATTAAGCTCCCTCAGATGATCTACTTGATCCTGGGAAGAAACATGGGAAGGCAGGACACATAATGGAGCAAACCACACCTCAATGCACAGGTTCCTAATTCTTCCAGGCTCTTAAAAGGTAAAATTATGAGACTAGATTTATGCTACATATTCAATAGTATAGTGAAAACTAGGCACACATATAAATTAATTGCAATTACTTTAAATCAATTGGGCAGGCGTTGCTGTGTAGTGTTTATTTTATTGTTGTCAGACAGAGACTGACCTGAATAAGAGCGATGAGCGGGGAAATAACCAGAGTGATGCCATTAGCCAACACTGCAGGCAGCTGGTAACATAGAGATTTTCCTGCTCCAGTGGGCATGCACACAAACACGTCCCTGTCACCTGTTACACACACACACGTACACAGATACATTCATACACGTTATTTTCACACTGACACACACAGTACTTCCTGTGACAGTTTCCTAAAACATCCGCTAAGATTCCTTGTTACTATTAGCCTAGTTAACTAACGTCAGCTAAAGCTGCTGACACTAAACGACCAGATTTACAGTGTGTTGTTTCGCTCACCTTTAATGACCGCCTTAACTACATCTTCCTGCAGTTTAGATCTGAAGCCGTCGAACCCAAAATGGGTTTTTAAAGCCTGTTTTAAAGTTTTTGTCATTGTCTTTCTGTCATGAGAATCCCTCGCTGGTTTTCCTGAGGTGCGCGGAGCCCCGCCTCCTTCCTCAAATCCCTGTTACTGATTGGGCACGCAGATTGGGTCTGAAGTCGCATCGGCCAATAGGAGGCAAGGTATGAGTTTGTCGCACAATATTGCGTCATCAACGGAGATTTGTGTTTGTTTGAAGCTGAAAAGAGAAACCGCCGTTTTTTGACTAAAAATAGACTTAACATGAAGTCTTTAAACTGACTTGTCAAAGAAGATGTTTAATTAAGTACAATAAGATATTGTACTTAACTTATTTATATTGTATTAATATTACCTCCGTAGTACTTACAAGGTATAGTGTGAATACAGTAAAGAAAAATATAATATATATAAAACACGTCATTAACGAACTCAAAACGAGACATCTGTTATTCTAACCGGTCGTATAATGTATGTAATACGTGATTATCTCCATTGAAGCTGTTTGCGGACTTTATTGTTTCAATTTGTCATTGTTTTGAGACTTTGTAGTTCAAAATGTATATAAGTAAAACTTATGTCCAGGAGGTGGCAGTAATACAACCCCGTTTGCATTGTGGCGCTGTAAAAGTTGCTCTCGCCTTAGAACAAGAGGGTTCAAGTATATAGCTTTATTAAATGTAATTAAATGGTACTTGACTGTCTCACTTATGCATTGGTATTGTACAACAAGACAACAGAAAACTGATTAACTTTGTCATATTTGGTTTATTTTTGTTCACATAGTGCATTTTCAATGCAGGGTTAATATTGCACAGTACAGTAGATTATTACTACATGTTTGAAACATACAGTATGAAATTTCATTATGCAGATGAGTAAAGGGTAAGAGGATAACCCCTCATCTATAATGTGGTAGCAACAATCACATTGAAGCAGCAGCAGTGTTTAGAGCACAGTCACAGACTAGAGCATCTAATGATTGTATAATCTAGGAATTTTTTTAGACTGATTACAGATGCAAAACCAGTATCTGAAACTTTTCTAGGATGTTAAGTGGGTTTTAGAGCTAGAAAAGTCAGAAGAAACAAGTTGCAGGCCAGAGACACTGACTCTTTGGTGCTAGAGACCTGATGACCAGGTCCTTCATGATCTCTACTGTACCAAAGAGTGGGAACAGCTTCTCATTGAAGCTCTCGTTGTAGGTGTAAATATGTACGTGTTTGTCTACGTCGTAGAAAGAGAGCTGGCCGCGGTCATAGTCAAGGTGGATGCCCACTTTGCGGGGGATGAGACCGTCTGGCAGGGCAGTGAAGGGCACAGTCAGTGCCTTCAGCTCAGTGCCTCTCTCCAGACGTATGGTCAGGTAGCCTGTGTCGGTGTTTAGGGATTTGAAGCCTTTCCTTAGCGCCGATTCTTTAGCCACGCCCAGGCGCCAGTCCCGCTCGCCCACCTCCACCTCCCAGTAGTGGCGACCGGATCCTAATCCTTGAACTCCTACGGCACACCACCAGCCGTCGAAGCGTTGGTGGTAATTGGGAATATCCTTCCTCTCAAAGCCGCAGCGCATCCTCTTCTCATCGCTGCAGATAAGCAGATCAGGGTTGGCTGTGTCCAGATCCAGAGTCACCTCAACTACAGGGGGGAGTGGAGGAGAGAAACGGGTTAAAAAGTGAAGGGATTCCAGATACATAGAAGATAAAACTGATCATGAATGGCTCCTGTACCTGCAGCATCTGAGATCCAGTCCCACACTGAATAAAAAAGAGAATGGAAGTGTGAAGATGAACAGTGAATGCAACCTTATAACACAAAACCTTAGTTGTGTCAGTATTTTTATGTTTTTATATAAAGTTTAAACCCAATGTCATCCCATTCACTACAGTCGATGGGGAGAAAGGTGTGTGAAGTCTATAAAAAGTGAAAAAGCAGGTTTTCAGGATTTAGTTTGTACACCGACCACATACCTGGTTGAGGGATATAGGATATGGCACCTGGAAGGAAATAAAACAATTTTATATAAAAATGATAAAACATTTATTTTAACTTTAAGTTTGATTCAATGCAAATTTACAAACCAATATTCTGGTTCTTCTGCTTCCACATGAGCCACTGCTGAGGGATGGTCTCCTGTGAGAACACAGAAGGATGGCTTTAGTTACACATGAATAAAACAGTAAAACAGGAATTGCAGTGTGTGTGTGTGTAAAACTGAGCTGTGTCTTACCTTATTGGGCTGCTGCAACATTAAAGCCCACATGGCCAGTTCCATAGCAGTCAGCAGATTGGGTACACGGCCCCAACGCCAGGCTGACTGTAGGTCCTCCAGCACTTTTGCCACAGGCTCCCCAGGCCAAACACTTTGCTGCGAAACGATCAGCATCACAAGAGAAAACTTTAAGTATTGTGATAAATATCAAGCGTGGCAAAAGAAAAATGAACCATATTTCTTTGTGAACCTCAGGCTGAGCTCTCAGGTCCTTGATCCAGTTGAGAAGATTGTTTTTAGCCTGCAGCACATCTTGATCATTTATCATGTCGGGCAGTATTCCGACGTCCACCTCTGACCAGCCATCAGGCTGCATGGTTGTCTTCTGCTGCTGCTAAAAACATGCAATGCAAAAACAGATATGTAGTGAACTAACCTCTCAATGTGTAATGAGAATTATTCTGACTTCCATTTTTTTACCTTGCTTTCCAGCATCAAGGCCCATTGTAGGATAAAAACCCTGCAAAGAGAAGATGACCAGATGTCATCCAGGTTCCAGATGTGCTCCAGCACCGCAGACCTCTGCAGCCGGAGAAATACAAAGAACCCAGAGAGAGAGACAAAAAAAAAGGTTAGAAGTTGCAGCATTATTACACTTTTTATTGTCGTCAAACTTGTCACTTGTAAATCCAAGTTAAATTGATATTATAAGGCTCCATTATAAATGGGTTTATACCTGACAGACTCGGCTGAGTTCTCTCGCCAGATCCAGAACAAACAGCTGATCCTCATCAAGAAGATCCCTCTTGTCCTTCTTGGCTTTTTTCTGTGTTTCCTGCAAAGGCAAAAAGAAATCCTAATATTGTAATCAAATCCAACTCAAATTAAGGTGGTGCACTACATGATTCTGTGTCTGTCAGCAGAAACAGAGCCCACCCCTCCCTTCCCTGCTCCGAGCCTCATTTCCTCCCACGCACTGGAGAAATGTGTGCATTGGAGAAACATAATGTCCAGAAGTCAGCTGTCGTCAAAACTGCCCATTAAACACACAGTGTCTGTGGAATGAACTGAAATGTGTCACCTTTATCTTGGCCGTGAAGTCTTTGGCCGGTTTCACCATGAAGTGGAAACACTGCAACATTGTGGCAGCTCTGTAACCTGAGGTGACAAACCAGAAGTAAAAGTTGCAGTAGATTTAGAAAAAGCAGATAAAAAAAGTTCAGTTCTCAGTGAGCCATTAAGAAAGTGAAGGGTGATAATGTAAAACTGAGGACATGATCAGCAACCACAGTAAATAATCTGAGGTAATCAGGTGACATGACTTGATATGAGGTCAGGATCACTGTGTCCACTGATCAGATGTTTCTAATAAGTAGCAGGTGATTTAAATACATTTACAGTTCCATGGTGGAAGACACATTTTATTTTTATGTCTCTCCCTTCCTCCAAATATTGGCACCGACTTAATGGCCAAAATTTTTTAGTTTAGTTACAAGGTTTAGTGCCATGCGAGTAAATTATACGTCAGAGAGTCCTGGGTTCGATTCCCAGAGGAACCACATGCTTGGCACCTGCCGGGGCCAGCCTGTTAACAGCACATCTGCAATTTCCCAAATATGGGCTCAATAAAGTTCAAATTATTATTATTATTTAAAATGTATTACTAAACTCCAGGCTGTAGTTTCAGTCAGGGTAGGACATGTCTCTTTAGTTTTTCTGCATTTTTAATTACCATTAATTTTCCAGACATCTTTGTGATTTAACCAGTCAACTTTAAAATAATATAAGTTACCCAAATTAAGGTCAAATCTTTGAAATAGCTGTATTACATTTACACATCCTCTCCTCACCTGTACATACCTTTAAATCGTCCTGAATTAATCAGGATTAATTAAGTCTCACAGCTCAGTCACAAAAGAACTCGTTTATTTTACTGCTGTTAACAATGTTCTCACATTTGTTTCGCCCCATTACTGCACAGTCGGCCCCACAAAGCTGCGGCACAGTTGGGTAATTATCCAATAATTGCAAATAAAATAGATTTCTCTTTTTTCCTTCAATTTACTTAATGGAATTTAACTAGTCAGAGTTGCCATATTTTGCAACTGCATGAGATCTGAGCTGGAGGAAAAATGCTCAGTCAGAAATAATTAATTCATGGAGAAGACGTGACCATGCAGTTTTTTTTCTAGGCCAGCTGATGATGCACACCTGCCGTGTGACTCTGCGGCAAACGTGCGTTACTGATGCAGACACTTTGTGTCCTTCAACCCGCCGAGAAGTTGCAAAAAACACCGCGATGCAAACATTTAACACCACTCAATGTTCATGCAAACGTTCTACTTGTTTATAATGTTTCCGTGACGTCACAGCCTTGCGTCCTTGCTCTGACAACAACATAAAAACATGCGTTTAATCCATCACGTCGTACAGATGACGTGCAGCTCACCTGTCTCCCCTGGTGGTTCGGTAAAATACTGTCGTTTCCTTCTGTTTTAGAGACAGTCAGGCCCAGGAACATGGGATGACTCGTCAGTGTCCGTGCTGCAGTCTCTGACCTTGTTTACATACCTGGCTGTTCGGGTGTGTTCGGTTTTCTCCGGCAGTGACGCAGGAAACGTCCCCTCGTGAACCAAGCGCGCGGCCATGTTGGTGAGGTACAACAATACGTCACGCATTAATTAGTGTCGTTAATGTGGGGCTGAGTTGATCACGGATCAATTCATTTGAGTTATTTAGTGTGCGTTCACCTTCATTTAAACCACGGTTCAATTATTTTAAATCGTTTGTTTTCATCTAACAATTTTATTTAACAAATAAATACAATGAGTCATTTTTATTGAGTGACATGCAGTGTTTGGTGACGCTTGTATCTCACATTGCCGCAATTCTCAAACTATGGTACACATGACACTGGTGGTACATGGACGTCAACCTATTTTATCTTGTTCTGTGTTTGTGTGTTTATAAGAGAAGGAGAAAGTGTGTGTATATTTTCAGAATTTAAATTTTTAAGCAGTGAGAACTCAAACCAGACGGTGGCAGTACTAAACTCAAAGTCTCCCCCTGCTGGTTCACAAATAACTGTGTTCATGTTTAGAGGGTTTATTTATGTTTGTTTTGTTTTACCATTAGTATCTAAAAACCAGGGTAAGAATTAATTGTACATTTGATTTTAGTGCTAATTACCTGCTGACACTACTGTTGTAAAAACAAATCAAATCTGTAAAGAAATCTATAAATAAATACATTTCTATGGATTTAACAAAAAAGTACTAAATTGTTTTTATTAAATAAATATAGTACAAGACATTGTGCAGGACAAATATTTTGCATTGGTGTAAAAAAGACAACAGAAACAAATTTGGTGTTAAAATATCAAATCAGAACAGGATGTAGAAAATTATTTGAGAAAGCAGGAAGTGATTGTGCAGACCAACCAGCTTTAGGAGGAGAAAAAAATAAAATAAAATAAAACTGAGGCCATATGAGGTAAGATTAAAATAAGAGGAAGAAAAGTGAGCTGTCTAAGTATAACTTCATGAAAGGCACTCTCATTATCACCTCGTATAAATCCTCCTCCTCCTGGCAGGCTCAACCACATGTGGCTCTGTATGCTCAGCAGCTGTCATCACACCGGTCTCTGATAACCTGATATCACACAATAAACGCTGTGGTTGAGGAGCAGCGGAAAAAGACCAGAGCAAACAGTGAAGACAAATAATGACAGAGTGTAATCAGAAAAGCAAACAGTGATTCTCTTTTTCTGGTGAGACTCCCCCCTCAGGGCCACACGTCTCTTCTTCTTCTCTTCTGTTGCAGCAGCTGCTTCATGTTCCTCCTCCTGGAAGCTCACAGTGGTTCAGACAGTGCACCAATAATCAGTGTCTTTAACATTCATCCCCTGGAAAGATGTGCAACCACACTTTGGTAGATTCCCAGCTGTGAAGCAGCGCTAGCTGTCGTTTGAGAACATCTGAATCCTCTGGTATTCAGCTTCAGGATTTGTATTCAGTCCTTCTCCAAATTAAAAAAAAAAAGCTGCCAGGGTTTATTTTGAAATTCCTCACTTAGTTCGATCAGACAGGTAGAACAGAGGTGTTTCAGTGTCTCAGCTGAGTGTTGGAGCTATTTCATTCTGAAATGTGAGTCCAGTGTTGGGGTAGATGGTAGGAGGAGAAAAGGCCAGGTCGGGTGAGAGGATGTTGTATGGAAGCTCTATAGACTGACGGATGGTCTCCTCATACGACGGAGGAGGCTGTAAGACAGAGGACACAAACACTTTGACTTAGAGTTTCATCACATGAGACATCACGGCAGAATACTAGGTGGAGTAGTGACTGTCAACAAAAACCTATAGGTGGCGCTAATGCCACTCACAGGATGTAGAGCAGCTGTTAAAACACAAATAAGAGGATGCAAGGTGAGTGGCAAAAGGAATAAGTAAAATTGAGTATTTGATCTCTATCGTAAATTTCCATCATTCTGTCTGGAAGTTTCAGTTCTGATTAACGTTGAACTTCTCTGTTAACTGGTACTTGAATTAAAAAAAACACATGAGAGATTTTCGTGCAGATAAAGGTCAGATATCTACTCTAGTCTAAACTTGAGTAGGTCATGTTGCTATTTACATTACAAATTAGTCCTCCCCCTCCTTCCCCCATCCCCCTCACCCTGGAACGTGTATTTTTTTTTTTGTAGTTCTTTATCTTCTCGGTCACATCTGGCAGATTCACACCCTCTGCCTGAGTCCTCTTATCTTTTAATTGCTTGGGGACCCTCAGGCGACAAGAGTGACCCTACAACACTGCCCTTTGTCCAATATGTACGTACCCCACTGACACACACACACACACACACACACAAAGTCAGTTTACTATCCTGCCCTAGGCCACTGGACAGACAGGGGAAATTAAGAGGCCATATTTTAAACTCTCTTTAAGAAAAATTCTGAAAAAAGGGGGGAAGGGAGGGAGTATGTGGACTGGAGGACCATACTGTGTGTGGATGTGTGTTCTGTCTGTGTGTGACAGACGAAGAGAGACAAGAAGAGGCAGGAGAAGGAGAAGGGAAAGTTCTGCTCTGGATGGTTTAATTAACAAACAGGGATGTGAGGTCAAAAAAACGAAAAAAAAACAGTAAAAGACGGGATCACGAAGCAGGTTTTCAGCCTCTGTTTGCACTCGGGACGCAGACTTTAATTATGTTTGTACCCTTTTTCTCATTACCTTGTTTGCTCATGCGTAATGCGTCTCTAAAACTCAGCAAACTGTCAACATGGAACAACCTTAACGGGAGGTCAGTGACAGCTCCCTGCAGCACAGAGCATTCAATAAGCTGTGCATCCTGTTTACTGTCTGAATGCACTCTGACCTTTGACCTTTGTCATGTTGAAAACAATTTGCGCAACTGCATGAACACGGCAGGAAGAGCTTTCATCTGAAAATAGGAAGACATCTCAACTCTCCCAAACTTAACGCCACCGCCTGACCACAGTACATTGTTGAAGCACATGTGACTGCATCAATTGATTTTGACCCCGTCGAAAAAGAAAATTCCTGATTTGGCCTACCTCATCCACAATGGGTCCATTGAGGCCAAAACGGTCTGCGATCATCATGTGGATCTGCCTCTGGCGGTCCTTTTTGCGGACGCTCTCATAGGAGGGAAGTCTCGGCAGGGGGGCCTCCAGTGACGGTAGGCTGTAGCTGGAGGGCAGGCCAACGAAGAACAGCTGACCTGCCTGCTGGGACCGTTGGAAACACAGGATCAGTTTTGATGGACAGCACACAGAGGACTTTAGAAACCACTAATGGACCATCTGGACAACTGGACGCTGCTCGGTAACAGCTGTCCTTTACACTCTATCAGACTACACCCCTGCTGAGCTCACTCACCTGAGTGCCGTTATCTGTGACCTGTGACTCTAGACATGAAGCTCCCACCAGTGTCTGTCTGCTGCTGTAGTACTGAGGAGGAGCATCCTGTGAATCAAGCAGTGACAACTGTTACAAGGAGGTTCTGGCTGTTATTAAACCGACTACTGACACACTTTTCTTCACAAAAACAAGTCACACGTTTGATTTTAAGAACTTATATTTACGGCTGAACAAAGTAATGCAACCTGGTCCAGACTCAGCTGTTCACGGGAGCTAAACTTAAATCCACAAATTACACTCTAACATTTTAATGTAAAATCCTAAAAATTCAATTGTATTCTTCTCCAAGTTTTGGCCAGACTAAGCTAATCTATCTCTTTCATAAGCAACACACAGTAAGGCAGTGGTTCTCAAACTTTTTTGGTCATTCCACACTTTCCATGACGACGACACAAACCAGTGACCCTTCTCTCTATGAGGCAAGGCCGCCAATCACCATTCCAACAGTTTACATTTTTACTACATCAAACACCACTACACCACCCTGCTCTGCAATTAGTCAGAAATCCACCATTTTCAGGCCAATTGACCAATTTTCATGCCTTGTTTAATCTCCATAGACATTGGCTGTTTCAGCAATACCATAAATTATCTCATCAATACGACGACCACCCGTCGATGACCGTGTCTCCTCCCAGCGCCACCCCCTCTAACTCAGCACTCATCAGCGTCTCACTGTATGAGGTGCAGGGATCCTCAAAAAGGCTACCAGGAAAACTAAGTAATTACCTCGGGTTTGAATGCATCTGCTTTGTGTGGAAGAACAATGCAACGTCCCACTGTGTCATCATGGTCCCTAGGCAACAAACCACACCGTGTGGTCTTTTTGTCGTCTCCTTTATTTTCTCTTGTTACTGCAGCAGGTAGCTCCTAACGAGAACACTCAATACACATTACGGCCGAGTGTGTGTGATTTGGGCCGTCATTAGAACAGCGCCAATTTGTCGCCTAACTGAGATTTTACTGTTGGAGTGTACGAAAAGCAACATTTGCTTCTCAACTTGCTACCAACAAGATGTTCAAAGAGGCCGCGACATCAAGGAGTATTAAATATCAGATGCATCACTTTCCCATGCCACTTCAAACAATGACATCACTTGCACTTAGAGTGACGCAGACTAACGACCTTTGCCTTAACCCTCCCGTCAGTTCACAGAGAGAAAGTGTCAAAAAGGTGATGTCAGAGGTCACGTTCCTTCGCTGGTTAATACTTTTAAGAAGCCAAAAAAGGGAGAGAGGGGAAAACGAGGAGTTGTCCTTTTGTCTCCTGCCATTGATTCAGTCAGTGTGAAAAAGCACAACCGTGTAAAATCAGTGTTGAAGTCGGGGGAGGAACGCAGTAGCAGTGTGCCTTTTTTAACACTGCCGCTTGAAGGAGATCCATTGTCTCTGCTGTGTCCCCCAACACCCACAGTGGGGTCTGTCCGCCATTCATGGTGCAAAATGAAGCAGGGAAAGGTATGTGACTATGAAGTCGGAGACAAGAAATGTCCCACCATGACACAATGAAAGTATTTGCATGTCTTTTCACTGATTACTTCACTTTCTCTTTCTTTCTTTTTCTTCATAGGAAAAAAAATTTCTGTTGGAATAACTGACAATTTCCGGGCTACCACGAGGGTGTCTGTGGATATAATAAAATGGCTCGCTTAATTTCCTGCTCTTGATAGAATATCTGAGACTATAATTAGGTGGTAGACAAATGGACTACAGTGTAATATTCTAGTGAACAACAAAGACTTTTGTGCTACTGCTAATTTAATCAACCCCTAGCAACACAGTGTGAGGGCAGATTTCTAGAACACTTTTCTAACCTTTCAGCTCAAACAACAGAAAGGAATTCCTTATCTATAACACTTACTCAATTGTGTGTTTAACATTGTTGCTGTTGGGCCAGGGGTTTGACAAGGAAATATTACCATAGATAAAAAGTGGGCCAAAATAAAGCAGAAAATGTTAAAAGGTTGCTCTAAATATATGAATGTGAATGTGAATGTATAACTATTAATAACTGTTTAAATATAAATTATAAAATACATTGGTACAGAGAACACAAATAGATACTAAGAAATAAGCTAAAAGGAAATAACCAAGCATTAGCCAAAGTAGCTGTAGCAACATTCACACACACACACACAATAGCTGAAAATTCGAACTCAATTCAAATCTAAACATAGGAACACAGAATAAAGTAGTTTATAGTTAATCCAGAAGCATTTCATGTTTTCTGATGTGTAGAAAACGGTTGGCCAACCAAAACCTAACTAGGAGAGGAGTTTTGTTCACATTAATTCAGCCCTTGTGCCAAAATTAGCTGTGGGGCACATCTTGGACATAACTAGGCTACATTAAATAATACCTAACAAACACTTAAACTCTAGGAGAAAGAGAGGAAGGCCAAAGAGGAGATATATGGATGTAGTGAGGGAGGACATGCAGATAGTTGGAGTCAGAGTAGAAGATACAGAGAACAGGGAGAAATGCTGTGGCAACCCCTGAAAAAGGGACAAAGCCGAAAGGAAAAGAAGAAGAAACACTTAAACTCTATGTTTACAGCATATATAAATACATATGTGCATGAGTCTGCACTTTGGTAATAATCTGTAATGTGCAGCCTAATGAATTAAGATGTCAGTTCAGGCACCAGTGTTGTCCAGTGTTGTCTTATCAGTAACTCTTAGACACCATGGACAGTCTGTACCAGTGACAGGCTCTGTTAGTTCCTTAACTGAGGTTAAAACCAATGCACAGCAGAGCTTCCTGTCTGTTAGGATATGTGTCTGTGTTTGCATGTGTGTGGGTGTGTGTGTAGGGGACGGTTTCTCTGCACTCCAAAGATAACACTGAAACTTCACCTCTGGGATCAGCAGCTGTGAAATACAAGGAAAAGGAAGCAAAGGGAACGGGTAGCTAATGAAGATTTACATGTGTGAAGTGGTTTCTTTTCAAGCTCAAGTCACTCTGCACCATCTTCACACCAAATGGTTATCTTTGGCAAGATGTGAAGCTGGACCTAGACATGAAGGAGCTGTCACGCATATCCTCAAGAAACAAAACATGAGCAAACTGGTTGTTTTAATTCTTTTCTAACTCAGGTGATGGAAACTAAATTGAATTTGCAATGATTTCATTTGCTGAACTCGCTGAATAACAGCCAGTTCTGTCCAGTTCCATTACAGATGGTGTGGAGATAATTTTTTGGAGCAGTTAATTCATTGCCTGACGATGATTATACCCGGTTTATTTTAGTCATTCTCCCACAGCCGAGCAAATCGAATGTGACACTTGTTAAAGGGCCTGCAGAGAGTGCACTGCTCTGTCCTCACTGTCAGTCACAGCAAAGGCTCAACAACTGTCTCAAACAAGGAAAAAAAAAAAAGAAACCTCAGCACATTTTCTCCTTTTCTCACCATATTGACATGCGGTCTCTGATAGGAGTGCAGTTTGCAGCACTGTGGTCCCCTACGGTAAATAATGGACAGCAGCACCACAACGAGCACAAAGAACATCAGGGAAGAAACTGTTAGGAAACAGAAGATAGTGAAATGTTAGTCACACTTAGTCATGGCTGAACGCCTGCTCCGGCACAACAACTTAGTGGGAGAAGTTCTGGAACAACACAGGAGCCTTTAGACAGTTGGAAACTCTTGGAAAATTCTTCCTTTTATTCCTTTTAAAAAAAAACTTGTTATGGCACTAACCATTTATTAGAATCTTCCTTTTATTCCTTTTAAAAAATGTTTGATTGTTCTTGTTATGGCACTAACCATTTATTAGAAATAATTATGGAGACAGCAAAGTGGTTATGTTACTAACTATGAGTTCCATGCTGCATTTAAAGCCCCCTTTCAGCACAGACCATTTTTATTACTAATCTATAAAACTTAATATCATGGATGTTACTTTATATTGCATATAATATCCTGGTAAATGAGTAAAATCAATTAATCACATCTTTTTAATTGACAACAGAAGACAAAATCCAATAATATGTCTAGTAAGTAAATAGCTTTGTTGTTTTTTCTTTTACCTTACATGTTTAATAAGACATAATGTACTTCTTACATTCTATCCCCTATAGAATTCATTAAGATTTTCTATTAAGATATATCCCTGCTCTCTGCTGTTTATCTTTAATTAGAAATAACTTTATTGTACTTTATAATTTCCATATGGTCAATTAGGTCAAGCTCATTTTTATTTTATTCTTTATACATGTGTATAATAGAAAAAATGGCTGTAATGGTGTAATAGGAAATGGCTTGGCTGTAATATTTTTACTTTACTTTTTACGTGTGTACAAATGCAGATTTTTTTTAAAGCATAATTAAATTTATTATTACTCGCTTTGAATCAGCAGTTATTATACTTTATTTTTCAGCCAACTGTCCTCATTATGGGACAAAAAAAAAAGAAGTTCTTGGTTTTATTCTCTTTATTCTTATTCCTATTCTTATTCTCATTATTCTTATTCTTATCCGAGCAGCCCAGACACCACTACTTACAGGACGCAGCGACCACGATGAGTTGATCCGATGTCAGCTGAGAGGAAGGGATGGTTGGACTTGCAGTTGTGGACATTTCTTCCGTGTATCCCGTCAGTGATCCCTTCAGAAATCCTGCGGAGCTTATCGGCCTCGGTGTAAAGTAGGATCTCATTTAGAAAGAGGAGAAAACTAAATAAGACGAGAAAGGAGCGCGGCTCCGTGAGTCCTCCTCATTGTCTCCTCTGTACCCGGGTGTTAAGTCCACATGCGCTCGGCTGATACGGTCGGTACTCACTCCTCTAAGGTAAACACACGTTCACTTCGAAAGTGCGTGACGTTCCTGTTTGGCTGGACGCTGGACGGCCGTGGCGTTTCGGTCTGGATCTGGAATAACCAATGACAATCTTGTAGTTACTTATGACAGGGGCGTCCACACATTTTCCAGGGGGGGGGG